TTACTTTCTATACCGTTACGCCTATGTCCCAAAAAAGCCCAGTTCTTCCCTATTAAGCCTAGGGTCCTTACTTATATAAGAAAGGGCTCTAGTATCGATTTTTATACCGCGAAGACCTTCTAGACGATATAGACGCGTAGATTATAGAGGTTTATTATCTATAGACCTTTTATATTCTACACGTCTATAATTAGATAGAATAGGACCCTAAAACGATAGGCCGAGGGCGGCCCCTTAGTCTTACCCCTTCTACCTTTTCTACTTCTTCTTTTTCTTCTTCTTTCCCCTCCTTTTTAGGCCCTAAAAGCCGGCCCTGGACCGAGGATCGAGTACTATAGGGCCTACAGGTCCCTAAGCCTACCCTTATTATAGGGGACTTTAATAAAAACCACTAGTAGTGGAACGGAGCTACTACTAACCAGGCTTCTATTAGGGCCCAGGCTCTAGTAGACTAGTTGGATAGCCTTAGAGCTACCTATTTAGTGGATTCTAAAGAGGTTAACCTAAACGGGGGGACCTTTTTTAGGTCTAATCTTCGTTAAGAGTCGGTTATAGACCTAGCCTTTTACACGCCCGGCTTCGATTATCTCCACTTTAATAAATAGGAATATATCGAAAACACTACCTCTTTACACCGCGCTATCCTCCTTTTGGCTACTATCTTAGACTCTAAAAGTCCTATAAATAGGTCCCTCCCGCCGGCTTATAACTATAAGCTAGTAGATTAGGACCTATTTTCTAGCACCCTAAAGAGCCTAGAACCTAGCCTCGACTAGGATATCTAATAGGCTATTAACGTCTCGGACTAGGATTCTTTAGGCCGCTGCCTTTCGGATACTATTACCCTAGCGCTTAAGGCTTTAGTGCCTAAGCTCCGGGTAGTAGGGCGTTCAAAGCCGTGGTGGACTAAAGAGCTAAAAAGCCCTGCGAAAAACAGCTAATAGGGCTTTTAGGGCTTTTCGAAAGGCAAAAAAGGGGGCCTCGGCCACCTAGGCGCCTTTAGAAGCCTCCTGGAAAGAAGCTCGAAACGCCTACTACCGGGCGGTTAAAATAGCGAAAAACGACCACTAGGAGGCCTTCCTAGCCCACGCCGAAGGCCCTAGAATCTTTAAGGCCTATAACTATACGAAAAGCGGCCTTAATACGAAAATCCAATCGATTTAAACGCCTACGAAGCAGAAGGCCTACGCCTTCGAAGATAAATGCAACGCCCTACTTTAGACCCTTTTTCCTATACCCTCCGCCACCGACGCCCCCGAAGCCCCTATATTTACAGGCCTTTCGGGGGACCTAGGCCCCTTTTACCCTTTTACCGGCCCCTAGAGCCTAACTAGATCACGCAGTAAGGGCCTTAGAAGACCGTCGGAGTGGCCTGGCCTTTAGGCTACCGAACTATAACGCGCTATATTCGGTGCTGCTAAGGGGAAAGCCCTAGGGCCTAATAGAATTAGTCTAAAGCCGATCCAGCAGGCCTATAAGGTTATCCCCGGGCCCTTTTTAAAAGCCTATTCAGCACTATTTATAGCAGGCTACCACCCTACCTACTAGAAAGAAGCCTTAGGGGTCGTTTTACCGAAGCCGGGAAAGAAGGACTATTCTAATCCTAAGTCTTATAGGATTATAGCCCTTCTAAACTACCTAGGTAAAGTCCTCGAAAGGGTTATAGCTACAAGGCTTAGCTTTATAGCTAATACCCGCGACGACCTTCTATACCCTAGTTAAATAAGAGGTAGAAAATAATGCTCTACTATCGATATAGCCCTTCTCCTCCTCTACTATATCGAAAAACAGCGTAAATCACGCTAAAATCCTATGATTTCTACGCTGTTTTTAGATATTAAAGGAGCCTTCGATCACGTCACCCGTCCCCAGCTACTTAAGTCACTTTAGGAACTCTAACTACCCTCGAACCTAGTTAAATAGGTAGCCTCTTTTACAGAAAACAGGCGAATCTAACTAGCTTTCGAGGGGCAGGTCTAACAGCCCACCCTCCTAAATATAGGTGTTCTATAAGGCTCCCCGGTTTCCCCTATCCTTTTCCTAATTTATATTAGGAAGGTTATAACGGGACCGGATTTTCAGGGTCTCCAGTTATCCTATATCGATGATTTTCAGCTATCTATAGCGTCTACGTCGACTAGAAAAAACTATAAAACCCTAGAAAAAGCCGTAGCCTCCCTTTTCGACGTAGTAAAAGTTAACTAAGTTCTTTTCGACCCTGAAAAAACAGAGCTTATTCACTTCCACCGAAAACGCTCTATAAAAGACACTCCGGTCACTATAGGGGGGCACTTAATTAAACTAGCGCTAGGTACTATTAGGTGGCTTAGGGTCTGGTTTAACCCGAAGCTATCCTTTGAACCCTATATCGAAAAACGCCTAAACTCAGCTTTAGGAGCCCTAAATAGACTACACAGGCTAGCTAGCCCGTAGAGGGGCCTTTCTTTTAAGGCTCTACGGCAGCTATATATAGCCTGTATAGCCTCCTTAGCTGATTTTGGCTCGCAGCTCTAGTAGGACCTAAAATCACCGAAAAAACACCTAGTAGACCGCCTAAAACGCCTATAGTATAGCGCTTTAGTCAGGGCACTAAGGGCTTTTAGGGGAGCCCCCTTAAGGCCTCTAGAACTCGAAGCAGTAGTCCCCCCGGCAGCGGTTCGGTTAAATAGGTCTAATAGGCTCTATACCTTTCGGGCCTTAAAGTTCCTACTAAACCACTCTATTAAACGCCAGCTTTATACTAGCGTTCAACGGCAGCCAGGGGATAAAAATCAGGAAAACCTCGCCCTTCTCCAGAACCTATAGCCTAGCATATAGCTATATAGGCTAGGCCTAGAAACAGTGGCTTTAGTAGGTTAGTCTTAGAATATTAAGGGTCCTTCGGCTAGGTGGGAGGCCCCTAGGCCTCGGAACCTATAGCGGACCTAAGACCCTTTTTCCCCCTTAAGGACCGGTCTAAAATAGATACCAACCCTAGCCCTAATACCCCCGATCAGAAAACAGCCCACCTTAAAGCCCTAGCCGAAATTCAGCAAGGCCTAGGGGAATAGACTGCTATTTTCTATACCGACGGGTCTCTAGGCCACCCTACTAGACCCCCTAAAAGGCCTTTATAGGCTGCAGCCGCTATAATACAGTGGACTAATACTAGAAGGCCCTGTAAAGCTATAGGCTTTAACCTAGGGGCCGCTACCGAAGTCGCGGACGCTGAACTATACGCTATTCTTTAGGCCCTTTACGCTACCCTAGAGTAAACGCCTAGGCCCCTGGAGTACTATATTTTTAGTGATTCTCATGCGGCTATTCAGAAGCTTCAGCGCACCTTATAGTGGGCTATAGAAGCTAAAAGCCTTATTTCACGCCTTAAACAACTAGGCACTTCGGTATCTATCTAGTAGTGCCCCTTACACGTGGGGATAAAAGGGAACGAGCTAGCGGATAAAGTGGCTAAAGGGGTATTAAACCCCGAAAAAGCTACTAAATCCATTAGCTTAGTTACCCTTAGTCACCTAAAACGCCGGGTAAATAAAGCCCTTATTTAAGACTAGAAGACCCTATAGATTCACGAAGAGGAGGAAGAGAAAAGAGGTCGATCAGTTCGATTAGGCCGCCTATATAGGAGACTAGTCCGCGATAACCTCCGCTTCTCCCGAAAACCACTACTAATATAAGGCCCTAGGTGGGTAAAATCGGCTTTTACGTAGTTAAAAAACGGCTTCAGATACCTAAAAACCCACCAAAAAAGGGTCTAAAACTACGCTAACGACCGCTATTCCTGTCCCGGCTCCCCTATACAGGATACAGCACACCTTATTCTCTCCTGCCCTTTTTATAAAAACGAACGAAAAGCCCTACGGGAAGCCCTAGCAGGCCTACCGCTATCTCTACCGCTATTATTCGGTACTAAAAGAGGAATACAGGCCTTACAGGCCTACCTTTTAGCTACTAAAATAGCTTCGGCGGAGTGGTACAGGGCGCAAACCTCGGATTCTGCGGTCTAGTTATTTTGCTTTAGTTTATTTACCTATTAGGTCTATTAGGCAGATTGTTACGGAGGATCTCCTTTATTTAGTACTACTGCTTCGCTTTAATTTACTATACTTAGCTTCTAATAGCCTTTAGCCCTTAGGGCAATAGGCGCCGCGCCATAGCTTTAGGGCTGCACGCGCGTAATAAATAAATAAATAAATAAAAAAACCGGCCTAGGCTAACCCGAACTATAGCCTACTACCCTTGCTATTAGCTATTAGCCTAGAGGTATAATCTAGATATATAGAAGAGATAAACCGGGGCTATATTAGCTCCATAGCGGCATTACTCTAACTAAGGACGAGTATAGAGGTTTTCCCCTAGATCTCGGGTTTTCCCCTTTATAGCTACCTAAAAAGGACCGTATAATCTAAACTAGGCTCCTATAAATTAAATAGAATAGCGGAGTAAGAAGAAGAAGAAGAATAATTCTTCTTCTTCTTCTTCTTCTTCTTCTTCTTCTTCTTCTTCTTCTTCTTCTTCTTCTTCTTCTTCTTCTTCTTCTTCTTCTTCTTCTTCTTATTCTTATTCTTTATTATTACTGATTTTGTTTTTAAAAAAATTTTAAGAATAACATATATATAGTACTCGGGTACCACGAAAAGTGGAAGATAAAAAGGGATAGGTGCGCGCGTTATCCTGTCGCGGGCGTGTACGTAGAAGAATATTATTACTATTTTTAGAAGTTGTTACAGTGCCCCCTATGCGTTGCCGTATGCAGGAATGCTGCAGCTCTGTGATGGGCCCATTACGGGTACCTAAGGTAGTGTGAGGTACTTTCGAACCATATCACATGTACGTACTTCCGTACCTTAGTGTACACGAGCTTGTCAGTGTCGTCATCGTACTTTCCTCTCTACGTGTACACGTGTACCTCCAAGCGAGCCCAAAGCTGCATCCATCGCCCCGCCCAATAATCACTTTCCTATGAACAAGAATAAATCCACCTAAAGACCTTAATCCGGTCCAAATACACACAAACCACAACTACGCCTTCGGTACATTACGCTCGAGAACAGCAGGCTCGGCATAATGGACTCCCCCGAGATACCCAAGATCGACAACGAGAAGCTCAAAAAGCAGTTCGATGTTTCCCATTTCGACCTCAACGCCGTCCTGCGGGGCATTCAGTTGACTCTCGTCGGAGGTCTGCACGTATTCCGACTGCCCCCGTCATGAGAGCTTCACGCTGACCGGTGTGGGTGGATGGTATTCCGTCCGTACTTGCATTGCAGCCCACCGAGCCCTCCAGAATCCGGCATTGTTTACCTCGGAAATCTACAAACAGGCCGTCGCCGCCGTCATCGCCGGCCTGGCCATTCGACTGATCGTGGCCATCCCCGTACGAATCCCTTCCCAATAGCAACTGAGAATACACTGCGAAGTCACTGTGGTGACTGCCAATACGGAGTGTGGCAGCTGAAAGACGTCCATCGACTACTGACTGATGCGTTCGTTCTCTCAACCAGGTCACCGGCGTTCGAGTGCTTTTATGGTTTCTCTCCTTCGTGTTTCGCCTCGACTCGGTTACGTGGGATGATGGTATCGTCGGAGGGCTCAATTTCATCGAGGAATATGTGCTTCAGGTTCCGTTCTTCCTGATGGCGCTGATGCGTTATATCACGCCAACGCTCGACAACATGTACGATGCCGACTTCCCTTTGCCTAACTTTCTGGTGGTTCTTGGGCGCACCAAGGTCACGCGGATTGCTGATCGCCAAGGTTTTCTCCAGGTTCATGGACTCGCTGCGGTGGGTCGACTTGACGTACGTCCGGAAACACAAGCAGGACGACCCCGACTCGCTGAGGGACATGTACTACCCCAACCTAAAGATGTACAAGCCCGCCGACGGCAGCACCCATTCCACCAGCACGGCCGAGGCCGTATCCGTGTTCCTGCTCCGGTTCGCGCGCAAGGGCGCCATCTCGCTCGCCGTCTTCGCCCTCTCGTATCTCCCCGTCGTCGGCCGCTTCGTCCTCCCCGCGGCCAGCTTCTACACCTTACACAAAGCCGTCGGGCTCGGGCCGGCGTCGGTGATCTTCGGGACCGGCGTCTTCCTCCCGCGGCGCTATCTCGTCATCTTCCTCCAGAGCTACTTCGCCTCCCGGACACTGATGCGCGAGCTCCTCGAGCCATACTTCTCCCGGGTCCGGTTCACCAAGGAGCAGAAGAAGAAGTGGTTCCGCAGCCGCGAGGGTCTCCTGTTTGGGTTCGCCATTGGGTTCTACGTCCTCGTCAGGATCCCCCTGGTCGGCGTCTTGGTGTACGGCATCGCCGAGGCTTCGACCGCCTACCTCATCACCAAGATCACCGACCCGCCTCCGCCTCCCCGTGAGGCGGCCGAGTTCGCGGCCAGTCAGCAAGAGTGGAGGAACAAGCACGAGTTTTTGAGCCTCTCGCTGGACAGCCTGGACTCTATCCACAGGATATCTCGTCCGAACAAGCCGCAGCTGGTAACCGACAACCCCTCGACTTTACTGTCGGCGGAAAAGTCGGAGTGAGATGCAGGACGATAGTATCTGCGCGAGGCAACGAGAGTTTTTTTCTTCTTTTCTTTTCTTTTCTTTTTCTTTTTCTTTTTTTTCGGCAGTGGAAAACGAAACCAATCCAATATTTCCCACCAGAGGTCACCCAACCACCCACTCGTCCGTCGTGACAGCATTAACAACATAATTAGACGAATGTCTCGGAGCTTTATCGCTTATCGCCTATCGAACTCGTACCTTACTAATGGAACGAAACCAAACCCCGCGGAGCAAGCACGCGGCTTCAAATGCCGAGTCAAAAACCATTCAGTCTTCCCTTTTTTTTTTTTGAATGATTTAATTACGTACCGTAACTGATATGGGCACATGCCATTCATGCAAACGTCAAGCCATCCCCTAGTGCATGTACCTTTGGAGTGAGTGTCCTTATCGACACACTAGCCTCCGTCTACCCGGGGGATGCTCTGTTCCGTATTCCCGGGACCAACCGGGACGAACCCAGTGCGTGTGTCACGGTATTGAGACCAAACCAATGCAGGCCGGCCTCGGAGACAGGTACCTCAATATGGATGGAACTTTCCATTGATAAGCTTTCTGGGAGCTACCGTTGATGACATCCGCGTCATCCACGTGCACGTCCAATTATACCATGCATTCCTATCGCATGACACTTGCTCTTGAGTCGACAACCCCCATTCACGCTGCAAGACTTGCGCCGCTTTTCCTGGATATGGGCAGTGCTGTTGTAAGGCGGGGTAGCTTCTTGGTATCATGTCGACCATGTGCATCATCGTCTACCAAGCCTAAGGTATATAACAGAAGGGATGGACGGGGCTTCATGTTGCATTTGAACCAGAAAAAGACCTTGTATAACCAACAGTCGTTCTTTATATCATATACCACTCCTTTCTGGAAGCCAAACAGCAGTGTCAGCCCTTGAGCTCTCCGAGTCCCCTTACTTGTCTTCTCCTCAATTCAGTCTCGTTGCTTCGCCGTCTGCATCATGGGCAAAACCGCGATCCGCACCGTCAACAAAGTCAGCTTCGATGAGCCAGCCTCGGAGCAATCATGTCTACATGTAAGTGCCGACCAACAGGAGGGTACTGTGCATACAACACTCCGCTGACAGAAAGATCTTAATAGAATCGATGGCATCCTGACAGTAAGTCGACCTAGTCGAGCCTTTTAACCGCGATCTGGGGTAACGGCATCGAAAACTAACCATCCACACAGTTCCCGCCGCTGGGGCAATCAAAGACGGCGAAACCGTCAAGATAGAATGCCTCGACTGGTACGCTGCCATGCGTTTCCTTTACTCTTTTCCCCGTCTTTCCCATCTTTCCTTTGAGAACTCCCCCTCTGACACTTTTGCTCCTTTCTTAACAGGACCGGTGGCCAAATTGGCAATAATGACTCGGCCGACGACATCGTCAACGTCGACCTTACCAGAGTGCACTATCTCAGCGGTCCCTTCGAGGTGGAGGGCGCACAGCCGGGCGATCTGCTCCTCGTCGAGATCATGGACGTCCAGCCCTTCGAGGACCGGCCTTGGGGTTTCACCGGCATCTTTGACCGGAACAATGGCGGAGGTTTCCTCGATGAGATTTACCCCAATGCGTACGTTCTTCCTTTTTCGTCCCCCTGCAAAGGACAAAACTGACAGCCCCCGCCGCAGAGCCAAGGCCATCTGGGACTTCGAAGGCATCTTCTGCACATCCCGCCACATCCCCGGCGTCAAGTTCAGCGGCCTCATCCACCCGGGCATTCTCGGCTGCGCCCCCTCCGCCGAGGTCCTCGACACGTGGAACAAGCGCGAGGGAGAACTCATCGCCGCCAACAAGCTCGAGCGCGTCGTGGCGCTGCCCCCCGAGCCCCAGAGCGTCCATGCCGGCTGCGCCGATGCTGCGACGAAGGAGAAGGTCGGGAAGGAAGGTGCCAGGACTATTCCTGGCCGGCCCGAACATGGTGGGAACTGCGAGTACGTCCGTCCCGATGATGAGATTATGATCTGTGACTTTTGCGTTTCTTCCAAGTTCTCCCCGAGTGTGGGCTGACGGGGGACGTAACGGACAGTATCAAGAACTTGAGCCGGGGTAGCAAAGTCTATCTTCCCGTCCACGTTCCCGGCGCGAAGTTTAGCGTCGGAGACTTGCATTTTTCGCGTATGTCCCATTTCGTCCCCTTTTCTTTTCTTTTCTTTTTCTTCTTTTTTCCTTTCTTTTCTGTGCCGGGCTACGATGGGCTAATGCGAATATGTCATCCAGAGGGCGATGGTGAAATCTCCTTCTGCGGCGCCATCGAAATGGCCGGCGTCATCACCATCAACTTCAAGGTCATCCGGAACGGCATGGCCGAGCTTGGCCTCAAATCCCCCATCTACATCCCCGGCCCCGTCGAACCGCAATTCGGACCCGGCCGGTACATCTACTTCGAGGGCTTCTCCGTCGACGAACACGGAAAGCAGCACTACATGGACGTCGCGGTAGCCTACCGCCAGACCACTCTCCGTATGTGAAACCCCCAGCCCCCGCTTCCAACTTATAGCAGGTACCATTGCTGACTGACCACGGCTGCTTGCCCGGGCGCACCTCACCTCAGGCTGCATCGAGTACCTCCGCCGTTTCGGCTACAACGACTACCAGATCTACCTCCTCCTCTCTTGCGCCCCCGTCCAGGGCCACGTCGCCGGTATAGTCGACATCCCGAATGCCTGCACGACGCTGGGCCTGCCGATGGACATCTTCGACTTTGACATCTCCCCCGCCGCCGCCGCCTCGGTGACCAAGCGCGATCTCGGTGGCTGCACGTTCCCGACCGGCGTCGCTGAGGGGAAGGTCGAGGCGGGCGGGGCCAACAGCGAGATTAGCTTCGGGGGTGGTTTGACATATAAGAGTGACAAGTAGATGCAGATAGATATGTATGTATGAATTTGTCCTATGCACAAGTCCGCGAATGCTGTGCTCCTGTTTGCAGAGTGGAAAGGAAGAAGAAACGAAGATAAAACGAAGATAAAAACGAACAATGAAAGTAAACGAGCGCCCCGAGGCGACTCTCATCTCGTGATCATGGGTCCTCGTCACCTCTTTTGCCTCATTCAAAACATCAAAAATCCGGAATCACAGAAAGCGAACTGTGTCCCATATCGCTTGTGTGCTTCTTCGCCTCCCTTTCCCCGCTTCCGAGCCAATCGCATCCAGGGGCATTGCATTTCAGCAAAGCGTTGTCCTCAATCTCGGACAGTGACGCGTGGCCCGTCTGTTCGGCATGCAGGCGGCCAGCGCGCTCACCACTCCCCATCCAGTCACACCCGGGCGCCTCACACCGCAACAAGATCTCGGAAGGGTCCGTGTAGTAGTGCATCTTGTTCAGCTCCGCGACAAGCTGCTGCGTCACGGCGAGGACCTCATCGTCGTCCGTGGGCCACATCGTCTGGTCCAGCTCCGGGGGCAAGTCCGAGTGCGTGTAGGGCGGCTCGGACGGACTCAGCGCGACGCGGTCGTAGTGGATGCCCGAATAGACCAGGAGGCAGCGCGTGGCCTTGTTCTCGCCGAATGGGAGGAGCGTCTGGCCCTTGACGTCGAAGGTGCAGATTTCCACGTCGAAGAGGTCGGAGAAGATGGCCAGCTCGATGGCGCCGCCCCAGCGGTCGCGGCCTTGGATGGCGCGCGCGTAGTCGTGCGGCGGCATGGCGAGAACGGCGGCGTTGTACTCCGCCGGGTGGGCGAGGATGTAGTCGGCGACCATTTTGCGGAGCTCCGGGGCCGGCAGCTGGCGGGGTAGGGCGCCGCCGAAGGCTGTGAAGAGGCAGCTGTTGTCATCGGGCATGACGCGAAGTACTAGAACACGGTTGTGATTAGCCATGTGTTGGAGAAATGGGCCCCGGGCGAAAGCGGTCTTCTCGTATGGTGTTTGCTTACGGAGCGTGCCCTGGCGATCCGGCCAAGGAATACTGACACCCTCGGGACCTTTAGTCGGCGGGGTCGGGGCGGAGAGGAAAGAAGACGTGTCGCGCTTCAAGCTCAACCCGCTGAGAGACGCTGATGATGCGGGCGCTTCGGCGGCCGGTGGCGCCGTGGTCTCGTTGGGAACTATAGTGAACGTCTCACCGTTGAGACCGAGCGACTTTGCGGACTCGGCCTTGTGAGAGGCATCGAGGGTTTTCAAGGGCCAGCCATACTTGAGGGTGAAATCGCCGATGCCAGACTTGGCTCGAATCTCGTCGAAGATCTGGGCGACGGTGGCGGCGTCGTCGAGAGAGAGAACTCCTGTGCCGGCAGGGCCTTTATACCGCGCTCTCATGCTGGGCCGACCTCAGGCGACTACCAGGTAAGGTACGGAGTAGGTACCCCTCGCTGTAGTTTCGGCGCTGTAATTGATCTCGGCGTGAAGAGCGGTTTAGAAGAAGAAGAAGCGAACAAGCAAGGCAAAAATATATGAAAATGGTTACGGCATCACAGTATCTCCATCACTCATAATGCATGCATCTGTACGGGTATGGAGTTGTATGGAGTCATTAAGTAAGGTACTCTACCTACCTAAGTTATTGAGCGCGAAGTACCTAGGTCAGGCGACGGGAACAGCGACTTGATGCGACGACTTCCACGGGAAACGTTGAACGAAGTACAGAGTACGAACCGAAGTACACGATTACTCCGCACGAGTGGATGTTGTTTGGTGGACCTCCTCGGCAGATCTCCGGTACCGGATACCGGATTCGGACAGCGGGCGGCACCAGCTGGTAACACAAGTCCAGCCACTGTAATTTATCCGTGCACCAAGCGCAAATGGAATTGGAAGGCGCATCACGCGCTGCATGGGAAGGACGTCCAAAGAGTGAACAGTTTAACTCGCTTTTAGTATTGATTCTCACGACATTAATTCGTATATATCCCTCGGACAGTTCGCCCTGCCAGTGTACTTTCGACTTCATATCGGTTCCAACTCCCGCTCACGGCTGCCTTCTCTCGGCTTTGCACCTCGGTTTCTTTACCACCGTCAAGCATGGCTGGGACGCGCCGTAGCGCGGGCCAGGTCCGGGATTCTATCGAGGCCAAGATCGACAAGAACGAAGATGTAGAGATGGAAGACCGCGGCGACGATCAAGAGGAGGATGCCGATGGAGAGCCTGACCTCGAAGCTGATGCGGATGCGGATGCGGATGCGGATGCTGATGCTGATGAGGACGCCGATGCCGACGCCGACGCCGACGCCGACGCCGACGCCGACGCCGACGCCGACGCCGACGCCGACGCCGATGCAGATGCCGACGGTGAACCTGACGACGACGAAGAAGAGGACTTCGACCCTCGAAACTGGCTGGCCCACATCGACAAACTCCAGAAGTACCTGTCCAGTTATCAAGAAGAGTATGTTGCGATGGCGTGGCCCGCCCCCTTTCATAGCGGTCGCGAAGGGTGCGCTAACTGACCCATGACTTGTTCTCCGTCTAGCGGCGAGGAAGTGGCGGCTGGCTTTCAGCGAATACCCAACAAGCGCGTGCTCCCTGATTATTTTACCGTTATCCAGAACCCTGTCGCATTTAGCACAATTCGGGTATGCTCATGCTTAATTCTCACACCTTTCCCTCCCTCTCTCGTTATCCGACATGGCAATTGCCGGCTCGCAAAACAACTGACCTCTTTTGTAGTTCAAACTGCAGAAGAAACAGTACACTCGGTTCGCCGAATTCGTCCGAGACGTCGCCCTCATCTGCCACAACGCCCAGGTGTATAACCGTCCGTCCGCGCCAATATTCGGCGCCGCTGTGCGGCTGCGCGAGATCTTTGTGGAAGAACTGAAGAAACTGGTGGCCAAGGGCGTCATCAAAGCCGAAGAAGCCGAGTTGCCCTACCTAGGCGAGCTACCCCCAGCGGACGAGTCACCGGAGCCGGAAGAAGGGGACGGAGAAGAAGGGGACGAAGAAGAGGGGGAGGAAGGGGAAGGGGACGAAGAAGAAGAGGACGACGACGACTCGGACGACGACGGTCCTCGTCATCGAGGGCGGCGGGGCAGGCGGAGATGGCGACGAACCGGCGACGACGGCGGCAGGGACGAAGACGGAACCAAAAGGAGAGGCCGGCCCCCCCGGGTCCTGACCCCCACCGAGGCGCGCATCCAAGCGTTACTGCGAGGTCTCCGGAGGTCGAAGGACGAGGACGGCGACCCTCTCATCCTGCCGTTCGAGAAGCTGCCCGACAAGCAGCAGCTTCCGGACTACTACGAGGTCATCGCCAGCCCGATCGCTCTCGACTTCATCAAGAAGAAGGCCAAGCGGAAGAAATACCAGAGCGTCGAGCAGGTGCTGCGCGACCTGGACCTCATGTTCCACAATGCGCAGACGTACAACGAGGACGGTAGCGACATCTTTGAGGCGGCTGTGGAGCTGCAGAAGCAGGCGCACGCGCTGGCGGCGCAGGAGAAGGCGCGCCCCGATGACGAGTTTCGGGACGATGCTGGTAAACTGCCCCTATCTGCGATAGAGTATAACGGGGAGACCTGGCGAGTTGGTACGTTTCTTCCCCTACATACATACGATACCTTTACGATAGACAGATGCTGACGATGCTGACACGCGAACCCGACAGGCGATTGGGCCCACATCAAGAACCCCAACGACCCGAGCAAGCCCATCGTGGCGCAGATCTTCCGGACGTGGCAAGACGGGTCGGGCCAGCGGTGGATCAACGCGTGCTGGTACTACCGGCCGGAGCAGACGGTGCATCGGTTCGACAAGCACTTCTTCGAGCACGAGGTGGCCAAGACGGGGCAGTACCGCGACCACCAGATCGAGGAGGTGGTGGGGCGGTGCTTCGTCATGTTCGTGACGCGGTTCCCCAAGGGGCGGCCGCGGGGCTTCCCGGCGGGCAACAAGGGGGTGTACGTGTGCGAGGCGCGGTACAACGAGGAGCGGTGCCGGTTCAACAAGATCAAGACGTGGGCGGTGTGCATGCCGGACGAGCTGCGCGACCGCGACTACGAGATGGACCTGTTCGACCAGCCGCGCAGGATGAGGAAGGTGCCCAGCCCCATCAAGCACCTGCTGCAGCAGGATGCGAAGGAGACCGATCCGCTGCCTAGGCCGACTTGGGGGCATCCGAATGCGCCGCCCATCATTGGCGCGGTGCATCGCCGGCCTCGTGAAGCCAATGTAAGTACAAAGAAACGTTCATCGAGCTTTTGTTTCCCCCCTGCCGTAGCATGCACATGTCCTATTTCATCTCCTTTCTTCCACCCCTGACGTGGATGGACGGGGGCCTCATCGAGTCCCGTCACTACGGGCTTACCTATCGTATGCCACGACTTTGGAAAGCCTTCCGTTTGAGAGTTTTCGGTTGTGTTGGCCGGCCAAAATCTCGCCTTGCTCCTGTGTGCAAGTGCGCACTGGTCGCTCGTAGGAAAGGAAAAGGAAAAGAAGAAGAAAAGAAGGAAAAACCATTTGTTTCCCCTTATTCGTTCAACACACCCCTACCCCTGCACTTCAAAACTTTCCGAGTTCATTTGCTGCTAGGCAGCTCGTTCATCTGCCCAACTTTCCTTCTTTCGTCTACCTCATCCGTCGAGTTGCACTGCCTCTCTGCCTTATACATTGGACGTCCAAAGAAAATACCTTAGGTGCAGTCCCCAGGAGTTCTCGACAAACACTCAACTTCCTCTTACCCTCATCATCCACCCTCTTCAAAATCTTATCCGTCCTATCGTCTTTCTTCTGTCCCCCCTACACTCCCAACCCTCCCATTCATTGCATGCAATCGGGCTTCCAGGTCCTCGTCTTCTTTATTGCTCTGTTCTCTTCCAATTCCCCTCTTTTTTATTTTCATTCTCTCTCATCTGCCCGATCCCTTTTGGTGTCCAACTACTGACATGAATATGTGAGCAAGGACTCCCCTCCACCCGAGGCAGCTCCGACACCAGCTCCAGCTTTCTCTTTCCCTACGGGGCAAGCGCACTTTTCGCCCAACGTGCAACGAGGTCCCGCGATGGCCCATCCGCCGCCTCGGCAAATGAGCGCGGGCGGGGTCATGGCGAACTCGGCTACACCATACAACATGGCAGCGGCAGCGGCAGCGCAAATTGCATCGCCGTCGCCAGCTCCGTATCCTGTGCACTACGGTCCTCCGCAACAATACCCTGCAGGGTCGCCCGTGGCCCCTACCCATAGCCCGATTCCCAATCACCACGTGGCGCCGGTGCCGGTGCCGATGGGGCCGACGGGGCCGACGGGGCCGACCGTTCCACATCAATCGCCGCACCGCCAGGCGGCGGTCCGCCCCATGTATCCACAACAGCACCCCCAGCAGCCCCAGCAGCCCCAGCACCAGCATCCGCATCATGTCCACTCTCAGCACGTCCAGCATTTGCAAGTGCCCCCACCGCAGCAGGGATACCACCAGCCAAGCTACCACCATCAGCAGCATCCCGGTCAGCCTCCACTCCATCCCCAACCACACACACCTTCCTTTGACCATCAACAACACCACCCCCAACGCATGCCCGTGCCCATGCCAATGCAAATGCCCATGCCCATGCCCATGCCCATGCCGGTGCACATGCAAAACCTACAGAACCGCTCCCCAATGGCCCCGACCCCGGGCAACGCAACAATGCCGCCGCAGGCAGCCAACTACGGCTACGACGCCACGGCGCGGTCGGCCGACGTCTACACGCTGCCGGACCAGCTCAACGACGCGCTGCCGGACGAGCTCCGCAAGCAGTACAGCTGCGACGGCGCGGGCAAGCTCCTGTTCTTCACGGCGCCGCCCTACGAGACGGCGCACCGCGGCATCGCGCCCGACAGCTACGGGCTGGGCCACAGCGCGCGCTACCTGGCGGGGCGGGAGGCGTGGCTGGCGGAGCGCGACCGGAAGCGCAAGGCGCGGGACGAGGCGCGGGCCGAGGCGCAGCAGAAACGCGCGGCGGTCGAGAGGGAGGAGCGCGCCGACGCGCGGGCGCGGGCGCGGGCGCTCGACCGGGCGACCGACGCCGTGGCGAATTGGCTGACGGCTTATAATGAGGAGACGAAACACATCACGACGATCACGGATGGGGAAGGATTGGGCGGTGCTGCTGCGGCGGCGGCGGAGGTCGAGAATGGTGTTGTCAAAGCACAGGTGGCCTAGATGGGCTGGCCGCAGCATCTCATCCTGGTCTCAAATTTTGTATTTTTTTTTCATCCTCATTCTCATCTTCCTTTTTCACCACCACCCAACTTCTCGACGACCTTAATTGGGCACACGGCTCAACTATCCTACCTTTACCTTTTTTTTTTTCAGTTTTTCAGTTTTTGTTTCAGCCAAGGCTTTAACGAGGTGTGCGACGTGGGGACGCAGTGTCATGGAATTTAGGTTCTGCGAGCCCCAAGAGACGAGGCATGGAGGCATTGTCGCCTAATTCTACTGGGCTTCCCTTTTTTGTGTTGCCGCCGTTGTGCTTCTTTCTTTCTTTCTTTCTTTCTTTCTTTCTTTCTTTCTTTCTTTCTTTCTTTCTTTCTTTCTTTCTTTCTTTCTTTCTTTCTTTCTTTCTTTCTTTCTTTCTTTCTTTCTTTCTTCTTCCTTTCTCCTTCTTCCTTTCTCCCCTACCATATCTTTAGTGCGGTTTTGTCTTTTCCTTCACCGGAAACATTTGCCTTGTGGCGATAGTTACCAAAAGGTGGGGTGGAGAGAGAGATAACAGGGCCAATACGGGACTACAACGTATTCTGGGATTACAGCAACAGGTCGGACGGCTTTTTCTCGGCCTAAGGAATCCGACTGAGGGCCTTTGCGCTAGATACAAAGGCGAGATAATTCACAATACGGGGTTGTTTGCTTTTCTTTTTTTCTTCTTCTTTTTCATCCTTTTTTTTCTTTCTTCCCCGGCATGGTGGGACACTGTTTTCACCTCGTTGATGGGCAGTTGGGAGTTTTAAGACGTTGTAAATGACAGAGCGAAGGGAATACCTAGGGAACTGACAATGGACTTGAGAAAAGAACAGGAAGGAAAATATAAAAAGAATCATCCATCACCGACTCACCGACTCACCGACTCACCGACTCACCGAGTCCTGGTACTGACTGTGTGGTACCCTCGATGAAGGGTCAGGAAAGGCTTCGTTCGCTTTAAGTACATAATTTACACGAGATGGCATGTGCGGTGGTTTTTGAGGGAGCGTTGTAAAAGTTTTGACATGTTCGAGGTAATTGATACAGGATATAATCCATCAATCTTGCGCTATTTGCGTTTGTTCTGTTCGTATCGCGCTTTAGATGCCCGCTTTTAACACCTTCAGGGTCTCTCTTTTTTACTAAGGTATATACCTTACCATAGGTAGTTAGAGCTACTTCGGAGACTACTCTGCCCGTATATTATAACAGCCGATGTGAAGTTGGCCTATAATAACTAATTAGTAAGGTACCTAGGTATACGATTTATTAGGCTTCAGCAATGGCTTTTGTTCGAGTCGCGTGCTTTGTACGTAGTAAGGTAGCCTCGCAGCATCACGTGTCAAGGGTCAGCGGCTACCTTATTAAGCAATCAATATACGGGTACGGAGTACCTGGTGACTCAGGCTGGCTTTGGTTCCGTTCCCGACGTCGCCACTTCGCCTTCCCAATGTAGATCTCCAGCCTCACGTACCTGCCCACCAACCTCCTCTCCTGCCTTCATTCGATATTATCACCTGCAACATCTGACGTGCTTTCCTTGACGTGCTTTCCTCTGAACGATATTACCAAGGTCCTTCTCTTGCACTTCCACGCCTGTGATATCTAATCACCCACCATTGTTCTTCCCAATCATCTCTTCATCTCTGCCTCCTCTTCATCAGCTAGTCAACTTCACTCCTCTCTCTTTTATTCTCAACTATTCGACATTCGTATAAGAGGCCAAGCTGCGGATAACATTCTAGGACATATCTTTCTTCAGCTGGTGTCTTCGTTGTCCTCGGTGGCTGGCCTCGCAAGTGTCGCAAGCCTCTCGAGTTTGTCAAGTTTCTCCAGTTTCTCCTAGGTGAGTGTCTACCTACGGAGTAGTCCCGCCTCTGCCTCGTACGGCTGCCAGAGGCTTCGTCGTCCCCTTGTTCCTCTCTGGCATTCGAAGTGTAGCCATGCGAGTACGCAGTATGTTTTTCTTCTAACCGCTCTATAGATTCTTGACTCCGGAGTGACGGCCTGCTTGCCTGTCTCGCACACCAGTTGAGAGTTGTGACGAACAACGCCAACATGCGCCGTGGCTTTCATGCTTTCAACCAAGTTCTCAAGCTCCGAGCATCGTCAAGTAGACAACATTGGGCCCCCCTCCCCCCGTATAACCTCTAAGCTTAGTCAAGAAATCTATGCCACTCTCTTTCACCGTATCATAAAGTCTAGAGCCGTTCTCCCATTTCCCCCGTCACCATGGCGCGCTCAACTTCGCCTGCCCGCAAGGTGTCAGGACGCAGACGGCGGTCCCCCAGTCCCAACAGGCGCAAGATCCCTCCGCCCACTCTCCAAGCTCAAAATCAGCTGGGCAACTTCACCAAGCTCTTTGCTCTCCTTTATGCCGACAAGGGCACTTGTCTCCCCCCCCCAGTTGAAGCGTTGTCATCTTCGGCCCACACTCTCTCAGTCCCAGGCCCGCACTCAGTCACCCAACCTCTCGCGTCTGACGGTCTTGCGTTGGGGGGTTTCGAGAGGACCACCGACGTTGCGGGTTTCAACGATCCATTAGCTCTCACATATTATGACGACACTGAGGCATCCACGGAGATCAACAGCACCCGCAGCACCCGCAGCACCCGCAGCACTATAACCAGCAGCAGCATTATCAGCAACATTACCAGCAGTACTATTCCACCCAACAGCATTGCCGATGTCGACATGGTTCGTTACAACCACAAAGGTTGCCCGTCCACCTGGATGGACGGCAAAAGTGCCAACTGGATTCGCACACCTGGTGGTAGCTCGCCTCCTCCTCCTCTTCCTCCTCCTCCTCCTCCTCCTGCAGCCAAGCCTGGAATCCCTCCACAGCATGCACACGACAGTCGCTCCCGTCGATTTGCCATTACTTCGACAAATTGGCGCTCTGCGACTTCGTCTTCGCCTCCCGCAACGTACGGCAGCGGCAGCAGCAGCGGCAGCGACGATTCTGGTCCGGTCTCCCCTGACAAGGAAGCCCGCAAATCCCTCGACGTCGGCCGGCAACTCCTCGCTGAGCTGCTGAGGCCTGCCAACTCCCCGTCGCCATCGCCCCCCCCCTTCTCCGACGGTCTGCCCGCGCCGCCCCCGTGCAAGATGGACATGGCCGAGGACCGAGAGGCAGAGATACGAGGAGTGAAAGCCCGCATCCCCTTTGGCGGGGCGCTTCCTTGCTCGGGGGAGTTCGCCCAGCAGGTCCTCGGGGACTTCCTCCACCACGACATGCAGCTCCGGGAACGGTTCGTCGATGGCCTTCCCGACATCCACGTCTTCATCGATTGGTCCAATATCTCCATCAGCTTGTGGGATACTCTCCGCGTAAAGAGGGGCATCAACAACAACCACCAACGCTTCATGCCCATCAGCTTCGACCGCCTGGTCCACGTCCTCGAGCGGGGCCGATCGACCGCCGTCCGGGAACTGGCCGGAAGCCGCAAGGTAGAACACGCCGGGCACTATTTCAGCGACATGAAGGAAAGAGGCTACAACACCAGCATCCTCCGCCGCGTCCGCGTTCCGTCGCCGCCCTGTTCTCCGCCCGGGAGCAGCGGCTCCCCGACCCTGCCCCCCTCCCCCCGCCAAGCGGCCCTCGACGAGAAGAAGAAGATGGCCGAGCAATGCGTCGACGAAATCCTGCAGCTCAAGATGTCCGACAGCCTGATCCAGGGCGTGAAGACACGCAGCCAGGGCATCATCGTCCTGGCCACCGGGGACGCGAACAAGGCCGAGTTCTCCAAGGGCGGCTTCCTCAGCAAGGTCCAGGACGCCCTCGAACTCGGCTGGATCGTCGAGCTCTACGCCTTCAAACAGCACACGTCGGGCGCCTGGAACAAGGCGGACTTCCAGGCCGCCTGGGAGGGCAAATTCTCCATCCATTACCTGGACGCATACGCGGATCGCCTCATCGATCAGGCCTAGGGGGCCCGACGTACAGCGGTTGGGCGGTCCCGGGTTCGGTTGAGGAACCGGGAACTTCGGCGACTTCACAAACAGTATCACCAAGCCATGCATTCTTGCATTAATGGAGACGAAGTCATCACGGACACTGCCACTGCCACTGCCACTGCCACCACCGTATACTATGAACAGCTGCAACGGTGGGACCAGGAGGAATGGTTCCGTTTCAACTTGATGGCTGGCCGTTTCGACCATTACGTCCCCCAAGGGGTGGCAGACAAAGAGGCCTACCTCCGCCAACGCTTTCAGCGAAGCTGAGATTGTTTTCCCGCTGAAGCTACGACTTTCGACTATCAAGTAGCCTTTAATGTCTGCGTCTCGAAGCCTCGATCACCTCTTATCTTCCTTTACTTTGTGCAACTTTTTTTCTTTTCTTTTTTTTTCTTCTTCTTCACTTTGACGGCGACTTTGAGAAACCTGCGGACCTGTTCCACGAGTCAGCTTTCTCCATTTTCCTCTTTTCCGGACTTCGGGGATGCTCACACTTGTCACTCTTCACAACGGATCTTAAGTGTCGGCTCGGTCAAGATCTTTTGTGCCTTCTTATCTCTTGGGGGTAGGCATTGGCGTCAAATGGCTCCGGCGATTTGGGAATGGGGGCATGTATGGATTGCCTTCTTGGCGTTTTGCTCCCCTTCTCTTGCAGGATGTGTTGGTTTGGCGAAGGGATATGGTTGGTTTTTTCTTTCTTTCTTTTGATTTTTTGTGTGCTCTGGGACGGGTTGCACACAGGCGCTGGGTTAATGATATGGACACGGGCAATGGGACACGATATGGCTGGTAATGAATGGTATTAATTACTCTCTCTCTCTCTCTCTCTCTCTCTCTCTACGTCTGGGGTTGAAAGGGAAGGAAAGACATTATCTTTGCAGAGATGTTCTCGCGAACGGAGGAGTGAGTGTTGACCAACTCTTAATGCAAACCCAGTTGGCACAAAAAGAGACCGCCACAATTAACACTGTGATGTTTCCTTGGTGACAACGTGCCAGAGTGGTTAATGGGTATGACTCGAAATCATATGGCTTCGGCCGCAGAGGTTCGAATCCTCTCGTTGTCGTGTCTTTTTTTTTTCCTTTTTTCCTATTCTTCTTTCTCAAAACGCCCCCTGGCTCTCGTATAAATCTACGACTCTCCCGAAATCCTAGGAAATCCTCATCCACCCCGCACCTGCACATTATTTCTCTCACTGGGTCTTTGCGTTTGTTCCTGATTTCTGCTGTACGGCACTGTGGACACACTGTATTCAATGTATGCAGACTTTGGCAGTCGCTCTAGGCGTCCCTTGTTCTTCTCAGATATGTCCCGATGTTAAATACTAAGGTACTTACTACTCTACTACTACTACTTGCTGAGTACCTTATAGTTCCTTTGGAAACAGGGCGACGTCGTGGATATGTGAATATATATATATAGAGTACAGCTGCACACAGACTTGCGTTTCAAAGGTATCCTCTTCCAAACTCATAAGCGCCCTTGGTCGGTCCCTTATGCATGCATGGATGCTGGTATCTGAAGTCATGGTTCCCGATTCCGTTCCGTTCAAGATGATGCCCGTGCAAAAACAAAACTTCCCTGCCCGGTAGAAAGTCCTGGTTTATGAAAGAAAAAAAAATGGCCTTTCCTTCCGTCTCCCGTCATCCTTTCGAAGAGATGCCAAAGAAAAGAAACGGGAATATTTGAGAAAGAAAAGGGGGAGGGGTAATCGGGTATGTTCGTTCCCATGATCATTAATGAAACAAAACTCGGGGATCCATGTCCGACCGACCTCGGGTCCCCTTTCAGAATGAGCCCTATCCAGCAAGTCTCACCTGGTTACCCCCGGGGCAAAGAAGAAGAAAGAGAAGAAGAAAAAGTCTTAATAAAACAAGTGCCACACACCGAGTGCGGGCAGGTTGATCATAAGATAACGAGACACCACGGAGTCGATCGCAGGTCGACTCGCAGCGGAGCAAGGGGAAGAAGGAAGTGCGAAAAGTGAAACTCATAGACCGGTATTCTCGCGCTCTTCGCGAATCGACGTGATCCCCGCGCCGCTGCCCCCTTCCAGGCGAGGTTTGCTGGGGGGCGGCATCGCGGCATGTATGTTGTTGGCAGCGTTGTTGGCAGCGTTGTTGGCAGCGTTGTTGGCAGTGTTATTGAACTTTGCTGCCGCGACATCGCCTGTCGAACCGCCTCCGCCGCCGTTGCCGTTGCCGTTGCCGTTCTTTTTCAGGGACTGCGCTGCCGCCCCCTCACCTCCTCCTCCTCCTCCGTTGCCTTTATGCAAGGACGACGGCCGACCGGGCGAGTTGGATCGTTTGCTACCGGCGTCGGTGTTGTTGTTTCCCCGAGAGGAGTTGCGGGGTGAGACTCGACCGGTCTGGCGGCTGGTTAGCTCGAAAAAAGAAGAAAAGAAGAAAAGAAAAGAAGAAAAGAAGAAAAGAAAAGAAGAAAAAAAATAGAGACAAAAGGCAAGAGAAAAGGACTTGCTCACCTGCTTAGCCCACCGCAGACCACAACTATTACACAGATCCCGCTGCCCACTGGGACCCCGGCGCCACTCGGGCGTGTTCCGCGTGTGGCAGTTGGCGCAGTCGCGCGCCACGTTCCCCACGCCCTTCCTCCGCTTCCGCTTCTTCTTGTTCGACAGCAGCCCGCCCAGCTCCTCGGCCAGGATGCGGTTCACCTTCTCCATCTGCCGCAGCTCGAACTGCCAGCTCGAGCACTTGGTCGTCCGCAGCTCGTCGAAGACGTTGTCGTCCGCCGCCAGCGTCGCGTCCTGCGAGCCTGCCACGAGCTGTCCCGCCGCCGCCGCCGCAGCAGCAGTAGTAGTAGGAGTAGTACTGCTACTACTACTAGTATCCCGAGTGGTGGGGTGCTGGTCATCGCCCCCGGGCCCCGCGGCGACGGCGGCGCTGGGCACGAACTTGTGCGAACTGCTGTGCGCCGCCGAGACTACGCTCCCGGGCGGCGGGCTCCTCGTCGCGGGGGCGATGGCGATGGCGCGGGAGGTGGCCTTGAGGAGCTTCGTCTGCGCGAGGAGGAACGTCGGCTTCTGCCCCTCGCAGGCATCCCCCGGGTAGAGGATGGTCTGGGCCTGCAGCACCTGGCCCCTCCGGTTCTGCACTTCGTGTTTACACGTGACGGTCTTGCCCCGCCTCGCCTTCTCGACGGTCCGGCCAAACTCGGGGCGCGACTCCTTGCGCATCAGGTCCTGGATGCTGGTCCCGACGAGGTCGTTCGGCTGCAGGTCCAGGAGGGAACGCACGTTGGACGAAACGAAGAGGAACATGCCCGAGGTGGATAGCTTCGTCCACAGCTCGCTGTCCCCGATGCCGCCGTGGGCCTCGAGGTGCCGTCTGCTGAGGGTGAAGACGGGCCGTTTGCGGCCCACGAGGATGATGCTCTTCCGCCCCTTGCCCTGTTCGACGAACAGGGACCCGTGGCTCTCGAACCAGGTGTAGCCGCTGTTCTTGCGCCGGATGCGGAAGACGATGTTGACCGAGTTCCCGGCCGCCGTGTCCTTGAGCTCTCGCGTCACGGGGACGATGTCGGACGGGTGGCACACCGTCGACAGAGCGCTCCCGGCCAGCTCGGCGGCGTCGTACTCGAGGATGCGCTTGCAAGACGGCGACAGGTACAGGAACAGGCCCTTCAGGGAGAGGACGTGCACCACGTCGTCGGTGTTCTCGAGGAGCATCTTGTCCCAGGATTGGCGGTGCCAGTCGGAGGACACGGGGCCCTTGCGGTTCAGCTGCTGCAGCAGGGCCGACACGTCGTCCATCCCGAGGGTCTGGTCGTTGTCGGGCTCCCACTGGCTCGAGCTGGGGGGCGTCCAGATGTACTGGCCGATGTCGCCGTGCTTGTAGTTGACCTGGACGCCGCCCATGTCCTGGCCGGGGGCGATGGCGTCGGGGCACTCGATCAGGTCGATCTGAAAGCCGACGATGTAGCGGATCTCGTCCGGGTCATCCCACGGGATGGGGATCATCGTGAGCAGGTTGAGAAACGGCTTGCCGCCTTTCCGGTAGTTGATCAGGCTCTGCTGGACCTCCCGGCCCGCCGCAACCTTCTCCTTGAGATTCAACACGGCGGCATTGTCGACGAACTCGCGCCTGGCGCCCGCCTCGACCTGGCCGTCCGGCGCCTGGAGGAAGCGGCAGTTCTTGCCCAGGATCTCGTGCCGGCTGTAGCCCGTCAAGTTCTGGAAGTTGTCCGAGACGTAGACGATGGGGCAGTCGTTCAGGGTCACGTCGCAGACCACAAAGGCACAGGACATGTCGACGGCCCCGAGGTGGACTTCGGGGTTCTCGCGTGTCGCCACGTACCACAGGGCGCGCAGCATGTCGAACCCGCTCTTGGAGTAGACGCTCTTCTCTGCGGGGCCGACACGGGGGGTCTGAGAACCGACGACGGGGGGGGTGGTGTTCGACGAATTCGACGAAGACCCATGCTGTGTGGCGGAGGTCCGGGGCGTGCCCGAGACGGGAGACATTTCGACGGGAGAAGCCGAGGCGATAGAAATATCTTCCTCTGATGACGACGGCATGGTGGCTTGTTCGGGCTGAGGAGGAGGAGGAGGAGGAGGAGGAGGTGGTGGTGGTTGTAGTTGTTGATGTTGATGTTGGATCGGGACGAGGCTCGGTGGGCCCATACTCTGCGCAAAGTGGAATGCAGGGACAGGTACAGGGACATGGACAGAGACGGGGACGGGGACGGGGACGGGGGCATGGTGGGTGGTACTGCTCCCGGCCGCCGCCGAGACGGCTGGGCCAACGGTAGGCTGCTGCTCGACGGCAGTAAACGGGGACCGCATGGAGACATCGGCGCCTTCCATTGTTACGTCGTCCATGGGGGTCGTGGCCGTACCGGGCTGGACGCCGAGCGGTTCGACCTTGGCCGTGAGGCTCATGGGCGTCTCGGACGCACTCATGGTGTTTAGGGTGGGAGGGAAGTGCGAGGTCAGAGGAGATTGGTTAAACACACCGACGTCGGCCATGTCGGATGCGAGGGAGTCCATGTTCATGTTGGCGAAGTTGGTGAAGTTGGCGGGCGTCATGTTGATCAGACCGGAGCTGAACTGAACAAAGTCGTCGTTGTCGGCGACGGAGAGCATGCCCTGGGCTGAAAAGCCACCCATAGATCCGGGTATCCCCATGCTCATGTCATCATCGGAGTAGGTTCCCGGAGCGGTATGTGAGGGGTTCGTGGTCAGGCCGGGGATGTTGGCGTAGCGGGCGTCGAGAGAGGCGTGGTCGGGGTATCCTCTGACATGATGATGAAAGGCGCCCCCAAATTCCATCATAGACATTCTCCGACATGTAGCGTCGTCCTCGGCCATGTGGTTGCTGAAGGCTGGCGGGATACTCCTCCGGCGCTGCAAGTCGGAATGATTGTGTTGCATGACGTCGGCAAGCGAAACGGTACCCATCATAACGGCATCGTTCATCTGGCCCATGTGGACATGTTGATGCGCCGACGTAGTAAATTGGTTCCGCGTCGGCTGCTGTTGCTGGTGCTGCTGTCGAGACAGCCGCCGCTGCAGCTCCTGGGCGTTAAGGTGGTTTGGGTAAAAGGGCTCCATGTCGGGCGCATTTGAGCGAGAGCCCAGGAAGGTCGACGGGAGAGAGAGGGAGGAAGGCTAGAGCCGTGAGAGGGCCGCCAAGGATGTATCGGAGGTCAGGGGAAAACAATAAACGATCGGGTCAACCAACAGTGACGTTCACGGCGGTAGTGGTCGCGAAGTTCGGAAGACGACGACGACGAGGGCAAACATCAAGGGGATATCGTTGTGGCCCGATATTGAAGGGCAGTATTTCGGTCGGGAATTCGGTTGTCGAGAGGCTCGAGAAGCAACGGTCGCAGCGGTCGGGAGGTGTCGAAAGGGAAATCGAGGACTGCACGAGAAGAGGTCTGTCTCGTGGTCGGCAAGAGGGAAAACGTTGGTCGCTTCGGTGCTTTTATGACGGCCACATGCCAGAAGCCACAAGTTCACCCGTCAACTAGTGTAGTAGGGCTGTTTGAGACGAAGCGAGGGCAGTTTAGTCGATGGGAGACGGTTCGGTCGAGGCCGGGGGGGGGTTTAGTTTCAATCCTATCCTCGGGGTCTTCGGGGACCCTTGACGAACGAGATGACGAAAGAGATGGATGGGACGATTTTTTTTTCTTCTTTTTCCTCTTCTTCTTTTTTCTCTTCTTCTTTTCTCTCTTCTCTTCTTTTTCGAAGTATGCTTCTCGCTGCTCGTCGTGGAATCTTGTCGGCAAAAGAACCAGGCGGTGGTTGTCGCTCTGCAATCGTCGGGGGCGACTTTGGATTCTTGTTGACAAATGGGCAGCAAGGGGTAATTATTGCCTGATATAATAAATATACATAAGTATATCCAGGTTATAAGGTAGGTGTATCAACGAACACTAAGGTTGAGGGAATACGTAATGAGGCACCAGGGCTTCATCACTCTTTCTTTGGTTCATGTTCAAGGATGGGATTCTCAGATTCCCATGGGTATTCCCATACCTTACGCTTTTCCCGCTCGTCTTTGCGTTCTCGCTTCTCCGTCACTCACGGACTTGCAACCGAAGCCCGGGCCTATCGATAATTATTATATTATTATTTAAAAAAAATAAGGATAAAGTCCCTTGAGGGGAAATGAAAATAAGGAGTGAAACCTCGCCCACTCTTTGTCCACTCTTTTCCACTCTTTGTCCCCCTTTGTCCACCTTTGCCCACCCTCGCCCACCCTCGCCCACCCTCGCCGGCCCTCGCCCACTCTTCCCCTACTTTCCATTGGCGGGATCAGTGCCTTCGGAGCATGGTACGATTCCACTTCATTGGCCTGTCGTGCCAAAGGGAAGGTGCTGCCCTTCTGCGTACGCGTCCGTTGTACACTAGTGTACAACCTCATTACTCCGTACTCTGTACCTATGTACTCTTAGTCATACCAGTAGGGGTCCTCCGTGCGGAGTGCAACGTACATACATGTAAGGTAGGTACCTTAGGGACGGGACATCTGTATCTTGTACTCCGTATCCGACTGTACTTCGTTCGTCTCGAAATCGAGTTACCGTATAAGGTACATACCTTAAGGCAGTTCTCCCTTTTCATCTGACAAACATGGACATGGACATCCAAGAGAACATGTGTCGACGGTCGGACTTGGCTTTGATGGTATCATCGCAAGAAATATCGACTTTCTCTATCTCTTTCTCTCTCTCTCTCTCTCTCTCTCTCTCTCTCTCTCTCTCTCTCTCTCTCTTCTCCCCCCTGATCCTTCCCCTCCCCACTCTCGTGGATCATGTCGGACCAAGCATCCCGGATGCTGTACCTTATCTACCGATATTGCCCGAAAAGGCCATCTCTTGTTGCTCTCTTTCTCCCAACTTCCCCCATTACATGGTCGATTGTCGTCTTCTCAAGAGAAATACGCCGCCACCCTCTGTTGGCCTGCCGGCGAGAACTGCTGCAGAAGCGGCGCAGGGTCCACACCCGCCGTCGACAGGAGCGTCTTCGCCGCCGCTACCACCCGATTGGCCGTCTGACCCTGAAGCGAGTCGGCCTCGAGTGCCTGTGCAATGAACACGAACATCTTGCCGGCCTGGCCCAGCACTGCCGGGTGTCGCCTGCGAAAGTTAAGGAAGGGCCATGGTCAGAATTGTTCATCTTTGTTGTTGGGAGACGGAGAAGGGGGGATACGGGGGGGGGGGGGGGGGGGGGGGGGGGGGGGGGGGGGGGGGGGGGGGGGGGGGGGGGGGGTTTCCACTTACTGGTCGATTAATTCTGCCAAGTACGCATACGCATACGGTGCCGCTTCGTCGTCGTGGATGACGGGCAGCGTTTCGAGCCACTGCGTCACCACTCCCGGCGCGTCTTGCACCTGGTGCGCGTTGTAGTGAAGAATCTTGGCAATGGCCGCGCACGCATTCTCCGTCGCGTACACGTTATCCTCGCTGCGCGCCTCGGGAACCTGCGTCACCTGGAAGAGGAACGGCAGCGCCCCTCCCAGGAATTGACTCCACGCCGCTCCTCCTCGGTGAGCCGCCACGCCAATTCCGTACGCAGCCGCCTGCCGGATGGCCGGTGATGCGTCGCGGCAGCCGTCGACGAGCGGCTGCGTAATCACATTGGCATACCGGCTGCTCTCGGGTCCACAGTACTCGAGCACGTCGTCCATGATGCAGAGACCCCACTGCCGCTGCGTAGCGTCGTCCGACTTGAGGAATCCCTCGTACGTGATCATGAGCCGCTCCCACGCCGGCAGGAACGCCGCCCCGTGGTTCTTGAACACCGCATGGAACGCCTTGTTCATATCCGAAAGCAATGTCTGGTCGTCTTCGATCGCGAGAAGCGTCTCTTCCGCCTCGTCCTCCACGTCGTCCGCAGTGGCCCCTTCCTTGTCTTCCAGCCGCTGCGTAACCCGCTCCTTGTAGTCCTCCAGCGTCGAGTGCACCGAGTCGATATACCGTGACATGTGATCCGACGTGAGGCAGCCCTTGCCCACCACCTCGACCGACTCGTAGAAGCACTGGTACATCTCCGCCAGCGTGTCGATGGCCGGCTCGGCCGAAAGCACCTCCAGCAGCTTATCCACCGTGGCCGTCCACAGCCCGGCCAACTCGTTGGACGGACTGCCGTACGCCTTCTTGTACGAAGACAACAGCTGCGGCACCAGCTTGGCAGACACGAACCTGACGGGGTCGTGGAAGAAGAAAGACAGCCCGGGGAGCGCGATCTTTTCCATGATCTCGGCCGCGTACGGCGCGAAGTTGGCTTCGAGCACCTGCGCGTACACCACCAAGAGCTCGATCGCCATGTTCTTGTCGTCCATGGTGCTGGTCCGAATACCGATCATCTTGCCCTTCAGCGGCACCAGTTCCCAGCCGTCTTCTTGCTGGATCTGCTCCACCTGGTCCTCGTCGTCGAGCAGCTGGATGTCGGCCTTCGCACTCGCCAGTTCCAGGAGGGGGGGCATGACCGTAGACAGGAACGGCAGGAATTCGTGCCCGAGCACCCGGCACATGCGGCCCCAGCAGTGCATCAGGTACTGCGCCTGCGGGTCGTCCGCGTCCTTGATGTTCTGCTGGATGTTGGCGAGAAGCTGGACCAGGGTCATGGCATCCTGTCCGAGACGTTCCTTCCCGACCGCCAACGCAATCAACGTCGCACATTCCATGGCCTTGGCCCGGAGCAGTCGGAACTCCTTCTCGTCATCGCGCTGCAACACGTTCACCAGTAGCGGCATCAGCGAATCGTAGTACTTCGAGAAGGCGGCCTCCGCCGCATCGGCGATGGTGGCAATGGTCGAGAGTGCCTGCTCCTGGACGTAGCGCTTGTCGTTCTGCAACAGCTGGAAGAGGTGAGCCAGCAGGCTGTCGAGGTGGGGCTCCAGGATCGACTTTTCGGCCTCCTCGCAAAAGTTGACCAGCGCAGCCGCCGCGTGCGACTTGACCCGAGGTTCGGGGGACTCCAGGACAGGCACGATGGCCGTCAGGACACGGTCGTAATAATCCGTCTGCATCTTGGGCGCGAAGTCGGTGCTCATTTGGCCAAGAGCGTTACACCCGGCCCAACGAACACGCGGATGGGGATCCTTCAGCGCGGGGATGACCAGGTCGAGAACTTGGCTGAGCTCGCCGATCATGAGTTCCCGGCAGCCCTCCGAAATGGCAGAAATGGCCATGAGCGCGGCATGCCTATCCTTCCAAGCCATCGAGTTCATCATTCTAGGAAGCCAATGGAATGTCGGAGCTAGGATGGTCTGCCCGCCCAGCTTGTTGGCCAGCCTATCCATGCACTGTTCACCAGCGACATGGTTGAGATCGCTTTCCTCCTGGTCGAGCTGTTTCGTTTATGAGCTTATGTAGCTGATTAAATTGGAGGGGCGGGGGGGAAAAAAGGAAAGGAAAAGGAAGAAAACGAAAGCAAAGTAAAATGGACACGGGGGATCGCAGGATCGCAACAACTACTCACATCGTCAGCCTCGAGCCACTCCGTACAATCCTCGTCATCCTCGCTGAGATCCGTCATCAGACTCAGGCACTGAGTGATCATATCGTTCGTATACGACTCGTCCTTGCGGCACATGGAGGGTGCGTAGTCGGCAAAGGTAGCCATGAGCTCGAGGGCGTTCTGGCGGCAAAGGTTTTCTAGTTCCTTGTCCTGGATGACGGAAATGCTGAACTGGACAAGGTTGCGGAAGAGAGGCTTGAACATTTTTGGCGCCGTCTCGGCCAGGTCGATAAGAGCCACAAGGGCGGCGCTGAGATCCTCGGAATCCTGGCTGTCCTTGATAGGCGGGAGGATGTTGAGCACATCGGCGATGAGAGGGTAGTATTTGGCCTGCGCTTTCTTGCCCAGGCACCGGAAGAAGGCGGCGAACGCATCCATGGCCGCAAGGCGCACCTGCACGGAATCATCCTTGAAGCCCTTCTGGAAGGCCTGGATAACGCCGTCCTCGTGCTGCTTTTCGATGATGCCCGGTGTTGTGGCGAAGACGCGGAAGGCCGTCTCGCGTTTCTCGGCTTCGGGTGCCAGACTGAGCTGGAAGAGGCCGCTGAGCAATTCCGGCCACGAGTCGTCTGCATGGACGTCAGCGTCAGCGTCGGCGTCAGGCATGATGATAACGGTGAAGTGATAGCAGGCAGGGATAGTAGGTGGAGTAGGTGTAGTAGGTCTTCTATGTGGTATATCTTCTTCGCACGGGGCACTGTAGTAAAAGCGACGTACTATTTTCCGTATACTGCCGTGCCACTTCAGCGACGGCATCGCTGACTTTATTCCTCACAGAGCGGTCAAAGTCCCCGGCCAGGGATTCAAGCAGCTTCTGGCGAATAGCGGCGGCCTGGTCGCGGTCCAAGGAGACGAACATGTCCAGCGTTTCACCTCTTTCATTCTTGCGCGACTTGGATGCGATTCGACGGAAAATGACGGCGGCAAAAGAACGCACCTGGTAGGAGGAGAACATGGCGGTCAATCAAGTAAACACTCGGGAAGATTCGAGCAAGAAGAGAACAAGCCACTCTGAGGAACGAGAGATTGAGGGTGGCATAGAACTTGTAGAAAGTACAACAACATGTAGAACATACTGGAGTATCAGAACCGGCTTGGATTTGTTCGGCGAGACCCATCAAGAGGATCTCTGGGCGGGTACTTGTCCATGAGTTCTGGAGATGTTCTTCGGCCTGGGACCGAATGCTGTTGTCGGGGGATTGGAGGGCTTGCAAGAGCTGGGTTAGCTCTGCGTGCACCTCGGGTGGGAGGATCGACATGGCCGCGAACTCGAGTTGACTTTGCCTTTGCGGTAAGGTAAGATGCTAACTGTGTGGGAAAAGAGAGCACTCGACGGGGGATTCTCCAGATTCTCCAGGGCAAGCACAATGGCAACTGATAGTAAAGAGATCCTGAGGTCCTCGTCGGTCGACAGCGCACGTAGTTTCGCACAGTCACAAAGATATCAAGGGAGGAGTTGAAAAATGGCCGGAAGTGGGGTGGGAGAGGTGGAAGGTGAATGGTGCATCCACGTCCAGTCTTTTGGTGGGATACGGACTGGGAGTAGTCGTGGATAGATAGGTCGTGGTGGGGTCCAAAAGGCTTCCAAAAGAAGGCTGCGAGTCTCCAGGGTCGTGGTTCCAACGCCGCCGCTAAATCGTGGACGAGGATGCGGTAGTCAGGCGTCCCAAAGCCCTAGCAAAATTCTTAAGATCGAAATAAAGAGTCGTAGCGATGTCTAGCGCAGTGGCCTTTCTGATGAAAGGCGAAAATGCGTGGGTAAAGATCTGTGGGTGGTGTATGGACTGTGTGGTCTGGTGGGGAACCAGGGGGGGGGGGGGAGTATGTGAAAATCGCTGGAGGAAAAAAAAACGAAAATAAAAAAAGACAACAAAATCAAAAAGGAGGGGTGGACAAAAGGCGGGGGACCTACCATACCAGTACCTAAGGTAATAAGGTACTCTGATGAGCCTCGTACGTCCCAAGTCGTAATTTTACCGGCAGTTACAACCCATCAAATTAGGTACTTAGTACCACCAACTTTCCCTCTTCCCAGATAAGGTATATGGTAATCATTTATTAGGACTACTTCGTAAATGACCAAATGCCCGTCTAAGGTAACAGCCAGGGGGGCATATACCTTGGGGAAGATATCGAACACGTACCGTATGAAGAGACACATCCACGGTGTGTAAGGTAGGTATTCGTACCTAGGTACCGAGTAGAAGTCAGCAGCGTAAGGTACCTTACCTTACTGTAATCAAGGTACCTCCCTCTCCTTTACGAGTACTCGTCAAGTACCTTCCTTTACCTTGTATTTTTCCGACCCGGTCCAATCCAGCCAGCGTGCAACAAACCAGTCTCTCTTCTTCGATTAAACCAAGTCTTGTGAAATTCGCTCTTACCACCTAACATCTAGACTTGTTGGAATTTCACGTGTTTTAAGTGTCTAACTTGTCGGCTTTACATACGTTCGATGTTTGGGTTGCAATTTGTCAAGTGCTTTTCGTGTTGCTTCAGGTAATAATAAGTAAATGTACTTACGGATAAGGTATCGACAGGTACCTACCTAGGTACCTTACGAATGGAAGGTAGGGGAGCGCGGCCTGATAACGCTACGGGGTAGAAGCAGAGGCCCCACCGTAGAAGCAAATGCGGAGGAAGTTCCAACCTGGAGCATCCCGTTTGAATCATCGCCTTATTCGTACTTCACACTTCGTACCAACATCAGATCATCCGGATCAACCAAGCGAAAACAACATACTCGTTTTCCTTCTGCCATCTCATAATAACCTTCTGCCTCCATTACATGCTCTGTATAGGATTGCACCTCTCCTGGTCACACCCGGATCACACTTCGCCATTGCCATCTTCGTCTCTCCTGTCCATTCCCACTCCAGCCCTTCGTGGTCTCATCGCGCGCTGCCTGTCAACTTGTCCCCCTGACTCGTCATCATCCCTCAAAAGACCACTCCCTTTCGCCTCTTTCTGCAAATCTCTTGTCCTCGGGTAGAAACGGGCAATAGTTATTACTCTTTTTTACGCAAATCTGCACTTTCGTTCGCCTATTCTATGCTCGCCCGCACGTTCGCAGATTCGGACATTCTCAATCCTCAATCCTCTGTCCCCGACCCTTTCGCCATCGTCACTGTGACAGCTCCGAGATACGAAGTGGGAACAGAGACGTTTCGATTCCCAAGACGGATTCTCCTCGAGGCTACAACTAATCTTAGTTACCCTTGAATTCTGCTTTCGCCATAGTCTGGCTGAGGAACCCCGCGATAATTCGACTCGGGCAATCATATTTTCCCTTCCGCTGCCAGATCGGTGACCACCCAACGAGCAGCACGACAGAGCTCCACTTCCACACCTTGCTTCATACCTTAGGAGTACTCGTACTCTCTTGCCCCGGTCCACCATGAGCCTGTCACCGACGGGGGAAGAACCTCGTCACGAAACAGCCGCCTATATGGCCGCTGATCTATCCAACACCGCCGCACGCCCCGGCTCATCTTCTGTTTCTCCTCCAGCTCCGCCCCAGAGAACTTCCTCACAGTCCAGCCTCACCAAGTCCTCGTCGCACATCTCCACTCACCGCCACAGCTTCGCCGAGAACTTGCGAAACGCGCCTGGCTCCCCGCGCTCTCAGCGCCATCCGTCCTTCGCCCAAACCGCCGTCCAAGAGCTCCTGAACAACCCGCCTCCTGCACATAAGCATTCAAATCCTCGCTTTGCCGGTCGAGATTGGCGGGACATCTCTGTCAACGAGCTCGTCTCCCACGAAGATGTGAGATGGGCCAACCTCGACACTAGCGTTGAGGATGCATCCATGGTACCAACCGGCTTCCCTTACCTTACCCCTTACCCGTTACACCCTTCCATCCTCTGCCCCACCAACCCCCATTCTTCTTTGCCATAACAGAGTAAGGCTAACTCACCTCACCTGCGCAGCTCCTCGTCAAACAAAGCCCCGCCAACGTCGTCCTCGTCCGGGAAAACGCTCAGTCCCGAACCGCCATCTCCAGTTTCGACTACACTGACCTTACTACGTACCTCCTTGTGGTCGTGGGTCTTGCGAATCCCGACGAGGATGAGATGCCCCTCTACAGGGACATAGCCACAAAGGCGCAGAACGGGACTCGCATTACCCTAGAAGACATTCAACCTATATGCAAGAAAGAAACCCTGGTCGTGCTTCCTTTCGACGAGACTCTAGACGCGGCTATCGAAGTTTTCGGTGGTGGCGTACACCGAGTCGTGGTTTGCGGCCCGTCCGGCGACGCCGTGGGCATTCTGAGCCAGCTCAAGTTGATCGAGTTCTTTTGGAACGAGGGTATCAACTTCCCCGTTATTGACCGGCTCTACCCCGTCAGCTTGCGTGAATTGGGGATCAGTACGCAACAGATCATTGCCGTCAAGTAAGACTCCCCTTCCCCATATGCGGGCCCAGCGATATGAGCACCACGCAATTTCACTTGGGACTAATGTTGTCCACTTGTCCACCAGTTCCGACACCCCGCTAGCCGAAGCCCTGACTCTGATGAACACCGAATGCTTGACGAGTGTGGCCGTCGTCGACAATGCCAAGAACGTCGTCGGCAACATCTCTACAGTTGACGTCAAGCATCTCACCAACGCCGCCAGCGCCCCCCTCCTCAACTCGAACTGCATGCACTTCATCTCCCTAATCCTCAGCGAAAGGGGTGTCGAACATGGCCGCGATTCCTTCCCCGTCTTCTACGTGAACCCTTCCTCGACATTAGCTCACACGGTCGCAAAGCTGGTGGCCACGCAAGCCCACCGCATGTGGGTGGTGGAATCGGCGTCGCCATCCCCATCCTCACCGGCGACTCCGCTCTTATCCCCCGTCAACAACGCCGTTTTGGTCCCCGGCACTGGATCGACGCCGCCGTCGCCGGTCCCTCTTCAGGGCACAGCGACTCAGCACAACCCCCCCGCCTCCGCGCTGCCGGGGGCGCATCTATCCGGCCGCCTGACTGGCGTGGTTTCCTTGACGGATATCCTCAACCTGTTTGCCAGATCGTCTGGCCTGCGTCCATCGGATCCAGGCGAGCAACGGGCCCGAAGGCGCAGGAGTTCCAGCAGTTCGGTTCGGCCGAGCATCGACTCTGCTCGGCCCAGTGTTGACTCCCGGAGATGAGACCTCGACAACGTGTCCCCGTTTTGTTGCCTCGGATTCTTTGGTGTCGACCATGGGTCTTGTATTCCGGATGCCATGGGCTGGTGGAAAACTAACCGTCTGTTTTTGGTCCGAATGTTTTTTTTTTCCAGTCACCTCTCAATGTATTTATTGCTGTCAGTTTCGGGGTAGGGGGTCAGTCAGTTCTTTCTCTGGTTTCGTTTATCCGGCACCAGGCAGGTATCATGTGTTGACTCTGTTGGACCGCACAACCATGAATGGGGGTAGATCGATTTATGTCCGTCTCGTTGCCAGTGGACCGAAGAATACCTTAGTTAGTCACTTGACACTGGTACGACACCCGTGCTTCCAGTTTCGTCCATCATCGTCGGACCATGATGAGGCGATCGATGTTCCTATTTCCTGTCAATATATATATACATATATATGAATGCTTTCAAAGTGTCTAGCAATCAGAAACCTCTTGTTGAACTACGTACGTGTCTGTCTGGCTGATATTCGTAGAGGCTGTGGCTTATTACCGGCCAGCAAAGGAAAACGTAAAAAGACGTACCAGGTGGGAGAGGCCCTTTACAGTGTCAATAAACGTTTACTGTGTACGAGGGAGTAAGGTATACATGATGGAAATGCAGGCCTTTTCACCTTGTATACAGTATGTATATCTATCCGTAACTTTTTCTCATACCAGAACTTGGGTGGATCTTGGTACAGTTTTGTAACTTCTTCTCATCATTCATAGGTAGGATGAATGAAGCATTTTCATAGGTATCGCACATAACATTCACCGAGAAATCGTCCACGTAACAAGGAACCCGCCAACTCGATTCAAGAGAGGATATACACCACACAAACTCCTCGCGCGCTCACCCTCTGCCAACTATCATCTCACCAGAAAGCGAATGCCAACCATGGCGGGCACCTCAACCAAAGACGCCTTCGCCTCCTTCTACCTCCAGCGCACTACGCGGGAATTCGCAGAGGACCTCGACAAGGCCCGCACAGCCGACGACTTCAAGCCGGACTCGGTACCGTTCCTGGTCCATGCCCTGCAGCAGGGGACCGCGCTCTACTCGGATGCCGACAAGGCCCGCGTCATGAATCCTCCGGTCATCGCCCCTGCCGAAGAAGAAGTCCGGGAAGAGGCCGGCAAGGGCGAGGGCGCGGAGTCGGTGTCGGTGTCGGTGTCTCGGGATGAGGAACGGATGGCGAAGAAGCTGCAGAAGCGGAAGCGGAAGAGCGAGGGCCGGCCGTGAGTTGATTCTTTTCTTCCGACGCTGGAAAAGAAAAGGTCTTCTGTGAGTCTCTGTGCGACATTGGCCTGGAGGTCGCAGACAGAAAGCGGAATCATCGCACTGTTTGCCTCCTGTCGCGGAAAACACCGTCTCCAGACGATCCTCCCACCCATTGCGTCCTGTCGTCTCTGCGCCCCTCTTCAGACACATACGCCAATGCCCTGCTAGGTCAGCTGGGCCCGCGGCTCTTCGGAATGGGGTCGCTCAAGGCCATCATCAGCCTCAGAAAGGGGAGGACTCTAGAACTTTGGCAACAGATGGCGTGTCCACATACGGGCCCAGGATGGAGGACCACATCCCATTATTCCTTTGCCTAAGGAGTTGATGCTGTCGCCACACAGTCTACAGTTTGCATCGATAGACCACCAGCACCGATTCAAGAACTGGACCGGCTCGTGATATTACCACTGGCCCAGATGCATCACCAGCTTTGAAATCAGGCATGGACACACGGCTTTTAGGGAAGGTGCGAGGAAAGTGTAGGCGTTTTCCTCTTTGTGGGTTATGAGTTGTCAGGGTAATAAATGGGTATCTTGAGGGAGTAAGACAGTAAATAAGGCTCATTGCGCTACATCTGAGATTAAGCATTCGCAGTCCCTCCAGGGTTGCCCCTAATCCCACATGGCAACAACTTTCCTTCCAAACATTCGTCCTTTCGACGATATTTTGGTGCCTTCAATTAGTCGTGCATTCGTGGTTGCTCTCCCTGGCCCCCCGCACGTATCTCGTGTGCTCCCTCAGTGGGACATATTGAATCGCCCCCGAGTCTCCTTACGAACTGCCCACCCCTTGATGGCCAATACTATGATTACCCAAGCCATCAACACACCGACGAATCCCATGGTGAAGTTATACATGAACATGCCGTTAAGGTTGTAGTGGATCATGCCCTCAACGGTATCGCTGCTCTACACCCGAAGTCAGTACAAGCCGTTGCTACTCAAATGTCAAAACATGTTTACTTACACTGGCCATGAGAATGATACTTCCAGCAATGAGACCAAACGACGTTAGCAACTCCGTGGGCGGCCTCGACGGAAGGACGGACTGCGGAGGCTTGAGATAGAGGAGGAAGTAAGTGAGCCCGCGGGCGACTGCCGCGCCGGCGACCAACTCGCCCCATTGCGTGTGAAGCATGCTCGAAACCATGGAACCCTGCTCATGCGCGCTCATCATGAAGCCCAGAAGCAAGATGACGAGTGCGGGGATCGGGTTAGTTGAGAATCCGTACTGCTTTGGAGGCTGTAGAGAGCTGTCGTGGCCCTCTTCTTGGTCGTAGGGGGGCTTGGGTGCAGTGAGCGCCGCTTCGGAAACCGTGGTGTGAAGGAGGTCTCGCACGCGGGTCGACTCAACGAGCATGCCAAGCTACAACTCTCTCCGTCAGCGCATCATCCACAAAGCCGGTCCTTCCCTTGCACCTGAAGAAGAAAAGAAGAAAATAGGGGTAACGGTAAAGCTGCAACCGCGGGACACAACTCGGGACACAACTCACCAGTCCACCTCCAATGAACAGGATCGGGATGGAGAGATGGTCAAGGTCCCGTGATCCCCATTCACCACCCCAGTTACCCAGGTGTTCCAACATGACGTTGGTCGCACCATAGAAGAAGATGGAGAAACTCTCGATAAACTCTGCCGACGGCCGCCACTTGCGCTTCGCTTGGTTCGGGCGAACATTCCATGCCTGGTTTCACGACATGCGCCGAGTCATTAGCCAGTCCGATCCGACAAAAGTGACACCAGAACGAGACAACGAATACAGCCCAAGAAGGATGTTCAAAGCGGATAGAACGCCCACGGAAAACGAAGGGAAAGAAATACTCACCCATCCCAACTCGCCAAAGCTTCCGCTCCAGCGTCCAAGAGTGAGGATGCCGAACCAGAAAAATACGCCTCCTTTTATCCAATGAGCCAAGCCACTGAAGACACCATGACCCTCCTATATCCGACCGTTAGCACTCATATTACCTATTACACAACATCTGGGGCGTCGGTAGATCAGCGAGGGTTCACTTACAAATAAGCGGCCATAGGTAATGATCCCAAGACAGAAGGCGATGAAACCCAAAAGGAGGATAATTCTATCCAAAATGTCATACGCGAACATCAGCCCTCTCCAGACGCGGGATGAGAGCAGACTAGACACCCTTCCGAGGATGGAAGGGCCGCCGTTCCCGGAAGGCATCGGCATGGGGAAGCCATCTCCCACGTCTTCCACGTCGACATATTCCTTCCGAGCATCCGAGAATCTTGGCGAGGTCCGACCGGATGCCGAGTCGCTGCGGAGTGACTCGGTATTCGGCTCGGTGCCCTGGCCGCTGTCGTTTGACTGACGGTAGGGGGACGAAAAGCGCATTTCGTCAAGTCGGCGCTGCTCTTCCACAGACGCGGCGGAGACCGGAATAAAGGCATGGTGCTCGGCAGCATTGCCAAAGCCGCCGGCGACCGGGTCTCTCCGCCAACGCCCGGCGACGCGCCCGAGCAGGCCCACGAGAATCTGGGCCGTGATGACCCAGGTCGCGACCCATCCGACCTTGTGGTGCGCATTGCTCGGGTACAAATCAGGAGTCTTCGCGTTGTAGACAACGCTAAGGAGAACACCCAGGGCGTTGACGGCTAGAAAAACGAATTGCAGCGCGAGCGTGTGCCGGGATCGTGCCAAGGACAGCATGACAGCTGTTTGGTTTCCAGCAGATGAGCCTTTTCCGCTATCTTGACGACGCAACGCCTTGTCGGCTCTGGTGGAATATTCACTTACCAACAGGGAGCAAGAACACCCAAGCAACCGCCATCAGGGCGATATGGGCAAACATAACACCGGCATGATCGGCGAGGGCGAAGTAAGTTGGTGGATAGCTGTCCGCGTCCGGTTTCCCATCATCGTTACCGGAAGCATGAGCTCCCATTTCGGCGTCTGCATGACCGCCGTGACCGTGGCCATGACCACCGTCAGCAAGCGCGAGCGGGACAAGACCCGACACCGCAAGAAAGGAGAGGAACTGAACTATCGTGGGCATGGAAGTGCGCTGTACGAACAAGAGCGTAGAGTCAACGGGAAGCCAGAGGTTGACAAGGGCGCAGTGTGCTGGGCGCAGCTTGGGAAGGCGATGGGGAGTCGCAAAACTTCGGCCAGTTCGGCCTCTCTATATCTGAGTTCGTGAAGAGAATGTTATGTGTATGGAACCCACGCACTCCAGCCGCGATCTCGGATACGGCGGGACAAGCAGGTGAAATGCGACAGAGCACTTATGAGTGATCGGGGTCGTACTGGCAACATGGATCACATATGAGTCAAGGGGAGGGAGGGTGGGAGGAGAGCAGATCGAGGGCCGAGGGAACCGGGGATGATAAATACCTTATTAAGCGAAACGACACCGAAGACTGATAAACCGGCTTCCGGGCTTGGAGCGAAGGAAAAAAAGAGAAGGGGTTGATAAAGCAAACCAGAGAAACACCTTGTGACGGGTCTCACATCGAACGGCATACGCCCCGCGGTCTGGTCTTGTCAGGCGCATGCAGCAAGAGGAGACGAGTACATGTACACTGGAGCACGGCCAGTCACCACGCGCCCTATTGTACTTCGATGCTTCACCCGGATCTGAGGGATCCGAGGGAGGGTACCGGGATGGACGGGATACACGGGATCGACGTAACTCCGGCTGGTCAACGTCAGGCCACCTACGAGTACGGATATGTACACGCAAAGCGAGATGAGTTGGCCGCCGCGAGCGAGTCCAACAAACATATCGACTTGGACAACGCGGCCGGGATCGGACCGCAGTTGCCCTTCCTCGATCTATCAGGAAAGAAAAGGAAAGTTAGTTATCCTTTGCTTGCTCGATCATGAAATCAGCATGACCCATCGGGGTCATAGGCGGTCCGTCAAGTCCAGCCGTAAGTTGTAACGACTTTGTATCCGTACTTTCATAAGGTACTTCGTACTGCCAGTACCTACCACCAAGCTTGTTCGATTTTCGTCCTGGACGTGAAAGCGAGAGAAACGTATCAGTAGGAGGGTCCACGTGAGGCTGGCTCACCCCCGATCCCCGATGCTTCCGAACATAAGATTTCTAGACTATTCGAAGACATACTGACTGGTAAGACATGAAGTTGTCTGTGTCTCACCAGAAGGAGTAGGAGCTTTGACCCTCTTTGGGTCACAACACAACACAGCACAGATGGAAGCCCTACGAAGTACACTACGCGGTACATGCTAAGGAGGTGGGGCAGGCGGTGTTGGAGGTCGGGATCGGAGACGTTTCAGCTGCCGCCGAGCCCGCAGCTGAATCATCTCCGCGAACTCCCGGCCCTGCCGATCAACTTGACAACCGTACACAAAACGTCCAAAAAAAATACAAAGCGCAATACAACGAACCAATACAAGGGACTGGGTACCAAGTCATGTTTGGATGGCACCTTCCTGCCGGTAGGTCCTTTGACAAGTCTGTCAAGTCGATCCTCGGGTATTACGACCCAAACCCTGGTGACTGGATTCTGAGCGTTGTCGTCACGAAATGCCATCCTCCTCAGACACTGTATCCTACCTTACCTATGCCAAACAGTGCTCACCATGGAGAAATTTACGGTACTGCCCCAACTACCTCAGGTACATCATTGTCATGTGCCTGTACGAAGAAGTACGAAGTAGTACTACTGCAGCCACAGCGCAACCGATCGTGACAGTGCATCACATGGTGGTCGTTTTTGGACGGAGTACCTACAACGTACATTCTATCGTTCCATTCATAAGGTACCTTACACTTCATCTTGTCCCTTGACAGCCTGTTACCATGATCTCGATGCTAACCGGAGCCGATCTAGTACATGTAAGACGCAGTACCAATACTAAGGTACCTACGCAGTGTTCCATGACCCTCGCGTATGAACCTCCCGTTCGCCAAAACTATCATCTAGGGCAGTCACAATTATCTGTAATATCACAAAACAGACACTGAACCCCCCTCTATGTCATCTTATGGCGAGGCCGAGACCCCGAGTCGCAAATGAGTACCACTTTTTCTCTTTGCTAGTTGGTGATAAATTGATTATCCTTCCTCCAGTCTCACGGCCTGCACATAAGGAGGAAGATGCAGCAGCAACACTACGGGTAGTTATTCCCTTGGTGTCTTACAAACACCTCCTTTTGTCGCCTCTCTCTGTGTGCTGCCAGGGGGCCGCTGTTGCTTTTATTCAAACACTGAAGGGCCCAGCTCATAGAAGCACATGTTCTAGAGGTACGAAAAAGAAGAAAACAAGAAAAAGGAAAGAAAGGAAACGCATGATTGAGCGCCTGGTCAAAACGACAACATGCCCGTGCCGTAGTAGTCACTCGGCAGCTATAGAGAAGACCTATCTTTCCATACCCACCTCTCTCCATCCGACACGCGAGCTACTCCGCCCTCACGCTCCAGCTTCTCCAAAATCTGCAACACGCCGCCGCAAGCTGGTATATGAAGTTCTTCTGGGACATCTTTGTAAATGACTTTCACCAGCTCCAACGCTGTCCACCCGTCGAGGTGGGCATGGGGCCGGGCAGTGCCGTGTGCGGCCTTGGAGGACCGCAGGGTGCGAATTACTTGATCTTCGCGTTCTTTCCTGTGGCGGACGTATTCTTCGATTCTGGCCGGGCCGTCCGAGACGACGGGTCCATGGCCCGGGTATGCCCGACCCTTGAAGAGGCGGCGCATCCGCTCAAGGCTGGCGAGATACGCGGCTAGATCCTCAAACACGGTGGTGCCCTGCCCGAGCACATTGTCTGCAGTAAACATGGCATCTTCTTCGGCCAAAACGAAGGTCGTGTGGTCGTCCGTGTGGCCCGGGGTGTGGAAAGCGGTCAAGCTGGCCCCTTCAGCGGCAAACGTTTGGCCATCGGCTATGTCGCGCTGGCCCTCCTCTGGCTGGTTCTTATAGACTTTAGCATCGGGGCAAAGTTGCAGGATGTTGCTGATTCCCCCCACATGGTCGTGGTGCCAATGGCTGATTAGAACCGTCTCGACCTGGGCCTCCTCCCGTTGCAACGTCGATTTTATGGCTGCTGTCCACGAGGGGCCACCTTCGGCCGTGTCGATGAGGATGCGGCGGCTACCCGTCCCAAGCAAATACGTGTTGGTTCCCTGCAATGTGAATTTGCCTGGGTTCCCTCCGAGAATACGGATACACGCGGGGCTTAGACGTTCAACCTCTGGCAAGGGAACGAGTTGCCCCGCCATCATGCTTTTGTACCTCAAGAGCGCACTGGTTGGCAGAAAGCGGGAGGGGCGTCTCAGTGTCAGTCTCAGTCTCAGTCTGCGAAGCATGAAGCATGCCCGGCCAGGAGCGCCGATTGAGGTCTCTGAGTTGGAGTTCTCAACCCCAAACCTGGCAGGTGTCGTTTATATAAGGTAGAACGCGGCATAAGAGTGGACGCGGAAGCGGAGAATTGGCGGGGTTACAGTACTAAATATGCATGCATGGTCCAGTCTTTACTGCCGAGGTCACATATGACATACCTGCGGTAAGGGCAAAGCAAGTATGAGGTCGGTGAAGAGATGAGGTGTGGCGGTGCGTTGTGGCTCGCCATCGCCCGTTCAATAGCTCGTCTGGAGTTTGTTCGGATACTCTTAGCAATCTCGGTGAGGCATGGTAACTAATTAATTTAAATACGGAGGAGGATAATGTCCTACTCCGTCGTCCTGTACTGATGAACGGATAATAGGGAAATGAAATTAACACTTTCCCGTTATTTGCGTCGGTTCGGTTCCCAATCCGCATTTAACTTACTTAAGAAATACATGAGCATTCTCTTGCCAGCAAGTACGAAGTACCTGAATTACTAACCAGGGGCTAAGAGGTTGGCTATCTCTTATCTTATCGTCAAGTGTCGCTGTTCTTATCGGCAGGCTCCACTGCGAAGCTCGTGTGTTGGTCCCTGTGGTACTCTGAATTCTTGGGGAATTGGCAGGGAGCTATTGCTACAATACAGTACATTGGGAATCACGATCTTTGCCACTTTCCGGCAAGAGACTTCCCGTACTGCCCGTACTGCCCGTACTGCGCAGATGCAAGAGCATCCTTATTGAAGTGTACAACACCTATTGTCTTTGCTTGACATTCTATTGTTTGCTAGATATAATAGTTTGTTTTTCTTCGGCGACATTTGCCCCTGATTGGCGACAAGACCAGCCATCGGAGGTAGCAGCTTCACGAACCGACAGGTCCCATCCTTTTTGTCCTTCAAGAGACCGAAGCTAATACAGAGCCCAGTCTTCGCAGTTGTAACCTCCCCATCTTCCGAATAGACCTTCGCCTTCCATCGCGATACTGTGACGTCTCGAGAACAACTGAAGGAAAAAGAAACAAAAAAAAAAAAGAACAAAAGAAAAGATTTCCGATCTCCTCTCTCCTCTTGTCACCAAGGCAAAAAACGTGAGCGCAGAATCCGTCCCAGGCTGCCTCAACTTGCAGTCCACACCTGCACGGCCTCTACGCCGGTCAGCCACCTTCATTCTGCCGTTATCGTAACCTCGGAGCGAAATGACTACTCGACCGGCAACACCTCTGTCCCCCAAACAGGCGAGGCTCAAATCCCCAGCTCCGGGGATGCCCACATTTGGCTGTGGTTTGTCTTCCCATACTTACACACACACACAATATGCCCCTCCCCACAAACGAAGGGGATGTAAATGGGCCAGGCTGATCGCCCGTAGAACACGTCCAGCGTCTGCTGTCGCAGTCTCAGGACCACACAAACCAGTCTGTACATCACTACAAGATGATTCTGAGGAACGTCTTCGAGCAGACCCCCGTCATCCCCCAGACCACTAAGAGCAGCAAGGGACGACCCAACACTTCTCTTACGTCCAATTACCTCTGCCTACAATGTTCCTCTATCGTCTCTGAGGAAGAACGTCTAGTCCACGGCAACGCAAAGTCGCATCGTTTCTGTAAGCTGTCCCAGTCCCAGTCCCAGTCCCAGTCCCAGTATTCCCATATACAGCTCCGGTCCAACTTTGCTGATTCCGGCCAAGTTGTCGATTCACGAAGTGGGACCCTCTATTGCCAAATATGTGACGACCTGGTCTGGGACCCTACCCTTGAGGACCTGAGGGTACGCAAAATGGGAACAGGGACCTTCTCAAGTAAGCCGACTTGCCCAGAGCTCCAGTTCACACAGTCTTGTCTTGGTTCATCCGCTGACGCATAGCGCTCTGTCCAGGTCGCAAGAGGAAGCACGAGGAGCTCTTCTCGGACAGCTTCAAGGACAGCCCTCTCTATATCTCCTCAAATACCACAACAGCCTCTTGTAAGGCCAGCGGGCTGCGTGGCATCTACAACGCTGGTGCCACTTGCTATCAAAACGTCGTGCTCCAGAGCTTCCTCCATAACCCGTTGCTGCGCAACTTCTATCTCGGCGACGGTCACCCTAGCAACGATTGCACCCTGCCGAACTGTCTGAGCTGCGCCATGGACGACATGTTCCAGGACTTTTACGCCGTGGAGAACACAAACGGGTTCACGGCGGCGAGCATTCTCTCGGGCTTTTGGATCTCGGAGAAGAAGGCGTTTGAGAACTTGGTGACGACCAAGGAGCAAGATGCTCACGAGTTCTTCCAATTCCTGGCCGAGGAGTTGCACGAGCGCAACGGGGACGGTAAACGTCCGGAGACGGGTAGCGAGCACAGCTGCAACTGCATCATTCACCAGACGTTCTATGGTAAACTGCAAAGCACCACGACGTGTCAGAATTGCGGCGGGGTCACCAACGCTGTTCAGTCGTTCTTAGACCTCAGCCTCGGCCTCGACCATCTGACCCAAAAAAGGACCAAGAAAACGGGAACCAAGAAACCCGCGCTCACGCTACAAGAATGTCTGGAGGAAGAGTATGTCAAGTCGGACAAGTGTGAATATCGCTGCCACAAGTGTAGCTCGGCGCAGCAGGCCAGACGGGATACGAGTATTAGGCGACTGCCAAACGTGCTAGCAATCCAGCTTAAGGTATGTCACCCGGCCCCCTCGAGTGTGTATTCGCTCACGCACACGCACACGCGCACACACACACACGTGCCTTGATGGATCACGTTCATCAAGCTGACGGCGATGGGACACTCTGTAGAGGTTCGAATACAAGCAGGGCCGGCACGACCGAGCGCCATCTAAGATTGACACGACAGTCAGCTTCCCACTGCAGCTGAACATGCTGCCCTACACAAGCAGAGCCAGGGCGAGTGACACGCGGGAGTCGTATGACTTGGCTAGGTCATGCACGTACGACCTCCTCAGCGTTGTTGTTCATGTTGGCGAGATCGACACTGGTCAGTCCTCAGTCCTGGGCCCATGTGGCCTTATCTCATGATTCCCGAACAAAGACGGACCAACTAACCTGCGAGTTCACCCCTTACCAGGTCATTATGTGTCCTATTGTCGTGTCGCCGACCAGTGGTTCAAGTTCAATGACCACAAGGTCGAACTGGCATCCAAATCCGACGTCCTTGGTGCGCAAGCCTACCTGCTCTTCTACATCGTCCAATCTCTCACGTGAGGAGAGTTGGGTTGACGAGCTTCCTCCCTCTGCCTATCCTACCTCGGATGCCTTGTCTTTTTGAAATACATATATGAGCAATGGCCAAAAATAAGTCGAGAAACCGAGGCACCTGATCGCTTAGTCAAAATGGGGTGACCGGAAGTCCAATGGGCCTGGGGACGGGAAACCAAGAATCTATGCATTATTCGGCGTTGGTTAGGTAGACTGGTCCTGTAAGAGGTGGAAGAACGTTTGCATAGGGTCTCGCCCAATCCCATCATATCGGTGTTAATGAATGAGCGCGGTGCATATACATATACATCTTTCGTTTAGTCTTATTTTGAATCCGGAAACTAAGGTACCTTATCCTTCAGTTTCCTTCACCCTTTCTTTTCATAAGGTAGGTACTCGTCATGTCATCATAAGAAGAGACCTCCACAAATCCAAAGCCGGCCCGTGCGTCGCTGTCCGTCTATTGTTGTCGCGCCGTCATACCAACACCTTTTGGGGCCATCTATCATCATGCGACTCGATAAGGCGACCTAATCGCGCCAGTTCCAATGTTCGCAGGTAAAGTTCGCATAGGACCAGAACTCGTTGTTCAGGTTCTTGGCATGCGTGGGTTCAAATGTCGTGCTCCTGAGACCGAACGACTTGTACACCTTACCCAGCAGGTCCCCTTCATCCGCTCACCCGTACACACGATGACCTTGGCGTCGGTGCTGCCCGAAGAGTTTGCCATCCAGCGGGTTGTCATGGCACCTGTGATGTTGGCCACGTTTTTAGCCACGTTAAACCAGATAGCGTCGCCGGACGGGGAAAAACAAAACGTACCCGCGGTGCCCCTTGTCTCAGACTAACGAGGATGAAATGAATTACATACCATCAGGTTCTTCAGGGCGACGAGCACACACGGTGCGGAGAGGATAGCGATTGTGTCTTTCTCGGTCGTCCCTTTCAGCAGCTCGCCAGCCAGTAGCCTGGCCGGTTCATCCGAATACTATGCGGTCGCGATGACAGGTCAGTGTCGGCCTTCTCGACGGAAACACTTACCCCGGAGATAGAGAGAAGGGAAAGGGGGGCCAAGGGGAAGAGGCGGGGTTTAATCGCGAAGACATACCTAAAACTGTGACTTGTTCCATCCCTCCATAGAAGCCTCCATCGTTGTTGGATTGAGGGGCGTGTGATCCGGCCGGAGCATAGATACAGAAGATGTATGATTGTATTCGTTATATAAAGGAAAGAAGAACAGGAAGGTGTGGGTATTCTAAATATATCTACCCCTTTTCCACGCGAGGAATATAGGGCTAATCTAGCTAATAGAAACACAGAAAACAGGCTTACGTGTTTTTAGTGCGATATACCCCCTAATTACTATACCCTGATTAGCTTAGTAATTACTTAGCCTAACCTCGCCGGCGCTTTATAGTTAATCTTAAAATAGCTTTAAAGAGTAATTACGTATCCTTTAAAGTCGAGTTAAAAGGCAGGTAAGGAAGCTATAAAATAAGAAAGAATAATAATAATAGTAGTAAATAATAAAGGAAAGTGCTATTTAAAGTAATTAGTAGATAGGGGAGGAGCCGGATATAAATAAAAGGGGTTTTAGGCTCTTCGGAGCCTTCTTTTCCCTCCTATAACCATAATCCCTTTTTAAGGATTTTTCCGTTATTTCTATCCGTCCCTAAATTTTCCGATCTTCGTTAAAATAGCCCTTATTTCTCCCTTAAAAGCGCTATAGTAAGTTACCGGAGCTCTGTTTTTTAAGATAGGTGCTAATAGTAGCATTGTTTTAGGCTCCCTTAACCCGTTCTTCTAGCGTTAAGGTCGCTAGTGCCGGCCTAACTAAGCCTGCCGGTGTTTCTAAGACCCCCGGCAAAAAACCTAATATAAGTGCTCCGGTCCCTTAGCTTCGTGCTTCCGTTTACAGTCGTAAGGCTCCGGTTACTAATAGATTAGTAGACTCCTAAGAAGCCTAATAAAAAGTCCACTAAGGCCGCTAACCCTAACTTTATACCCGTCCCCTTTAATCCGCCCTATATATAGTGCGTTAAGGGTATTTACTCTAGAAAACAGAGCTTATTTAACTATTACGTTTCTATGGATAGGCGCTCTAATCGTTACCGTAAATGCTACGATAGAAATTATACCTATTCGTAAATATAAGTTCTACCCCCTAGTTACTAAGAGTTACGATCGAAGATAAAAGCTCCGGGTTAAATCGAAATAAGGAATTTATACTCCGGGGTGCTTCTACTAATAATAGTTCCTTAGTTATTATAGTATAATCCCCTTAGTTAAGATATTGGTTAATACCGTGACGGTCCGTAAAATAGGACCCCTTTCCGATAAAGATAATCGTAAGGTAAGTGTTTTAAGTCTTATTTCTCGATCGTAAGGCTCCGGCTAATAGTTCTGGCGCAGTTCTTTATAAAATTAAAGTAATATATTAAGTAAACGATTAAATATTTAAAAGACGATAATACTAAGCAGTTCTTTAATAAAAAGGAGCTTAAATACTTGGCGGGCCCCGGCGAGGAGGGCTTAACTAAGCCTATTTTCTCGGCTTATTTCGAAAGTTTAGTGGAGGAGGTAGTGGCTTATCGCCTCGGCGACTAGCTTTAGCAGCAGAATATTACTCCCGTTATATCCTCCGGAGCCCCTTAGGGTCAAGTTATTACGCCGATTACTGGAAATAGCGCTATTATTAATAGTGGCTCGGTTATAGTAGATAGTAGTAAGACTACGGCTCCGGGTGCTCCTAATAGAGCGTAGTGATAGTATTTAGGTTCGCCGGATATTAGTTTATGTGTTTTGCTTTTAGCTCTTAGGAGTTAGTATATAGCTTAGGCGTTAGGTTAGTACTATAGAGAGATACTACTTTTACTTTTGCCCTAATCTTACTATTCCGCCGGCGTGCGGTGCGCCTCCGGCGCCTGATTCTTAATGTTAACTTCTCCGGTTTACCCCCTCCGTGCACTCGTTATATTAAGATATACGCGGAAGATCTCGAACTTTTATCGTGGGAGTACCTTCGTTAATCCGTCTACCGGTATAAGGCTCGTAGCTAAATAAATAACCCTAAAAGTCCCTTTACTATATTCTTATCGAACCTATAAGCGTTAAATATCTATATATCTAAGCCGGGTTTCGATCCTATAGCCGTCGTCCACTATAAGCCTAATTATTTAAGTATTATCGTAATTAATATCCTAAGGGGATTCAGGATTAAAGCGTATCTCTACGAATAGACGCTTTAATCCTATTATTTCCTTCGCGACATACTCTAGAGCGAGCAGCTCTACTTCGGTTATAGACGTAGTAATAGTTACTTACCTTGTTACTTTCTATCCTACTAAATCTCTAAACAGGCTAATAAGATAGGCTTAGGAAGATCGTTATATATCGATATCGTTAGTAAAAGAGGCGTTACTCGCGATTACTATAGCCTATAAACTAATACTCGATCCGTACTAAATTAAGAGGTTCTTAGTTATATATAAGTAATGGATAGCTTAGTTCGCTACCTTATAATACTCCGGGGATAGGTTTTTAAAAAAGCGGCAAAGGATAGATACCGTAAAAGCTATATTAGGACGTATTATTACTACTATATATAATAATAATCCGACCTTTTCCTGGTACGATTTAACCTCTTAAGTCCTGGCTTCGTCTTCTCTCCTCCGGTATTCTATAACAGGAATAGGAATCGCTAGGTATATATTAATAGCGTCTAGATTAAATCTAGCTACGATCTTCTCGATATATAAGTCGTGGCTAAGTAAAACCTTACGCCGGGGGCGATCTCGCGTGATCTTAATCCCTAGGAATTATTCTGCGTTACCTTTTTCTAATACTTCGAACCTCTTTTTGATACCGTTAATAAATCCTAAGGGCGTTCGTAGCCGTGTTCTTATAGAATAAGATAAGGATATCGTCTATAAAAAAGATAATAAACGTGTCTCGAGCTACTATTATAACCGCGCAGATACGGCGTTGGAGTGGTTCGGCAGACGGTCATATAACCCCCCCTTTTAAGGCCGCTGGATCCGCTGCCCATATATATATTAAGGACAGGCTCGGGATATCCCTATTAAGGGATTAACACATAATTATTATCCTCTTTTATAATTACTTATTCCACGTTTAAGGTATCTTTTTAGCTTAACTTATATTGCCCTGATTAGAATAGTGACTACCGACCTACTTTTTCGCTAAAGGTTATAGCGGTATTAGTTATATTTTGGTTATATATCGTGGTTTCGCTGGACTAACCTCTTTATCTAATCTTTATCTTAACGATCTATTGCTACTACGTCTTTATCCAGTTATAATATAGTACTCGGAGGCGGATTTATTCGGCGTTCCTAAAGTGTTCTGACCCTGATTAGAGTAATAGAGGCGCTTAAAGGAGGTTCCGGCCCTCCTAAATAGACTATTAGTTAATAACCTTAGGAAGAATATAAAGATAACGACTGAGGAAGGATTTAACGCTTTAAGACTAAGGGGAGATTAGCCCTAATAAGATCAGAAAAAGAAATAACTGCTTAGGTAAGAGTTAAAGAACTATTAACACTTTTAATTATAAGACCCGCCGCCACGGAGGTAGTAATTATAGCGGAGGAAACCGATTAGATTATGATAGAGTTAGATTCCGGATATAGAATAGACTCGATAGGGGGCTTATAACCCCTACCACTAACTAAGATAGACCCTTGTACGACGGCGAAGAAAAGATAAGACCGCTAAGAGTAGCTTACTCGGATTAGGGTAACTAAACCCTAGCAGATCTAATAAAAAGATAATACCGAGCGTGGGAGCGAAATAATAATACCTAATAAGAGGACCCGATAGTCTAGTAAGGACCTTTATAGACCCCGTAAGCAGGTCGTGATACTTCTTCGTAAGACTTAGCGGGTAATGCTTTTAATATTAATATCCGTGAGTATAGTCCCTTTATTAATAGGTAATCTTCTAATCGTGGGGGGCCTTTTCCTTCGAGATAAGTTAGAAAAGCTAGACCCTAAAGATAAGTATTAAGGAGTAAAACCTAGGACCGCCCTCTCGTTAAAGACATTATCACTCTTATTAAGATAAGATAATATATATAATAACCTAGCTAGTATCTAGAATACCTATAGGATCTTCTCGCTAGACGATTAGTTCGAAGAACCTTTCCCTAAACACCCTAAGCGCCCTAACCCTATTATTATTATTCGCCCACCGCCTCGCACTTGCACCTAAAACACTATAGATACTTAGACTTAGTATCGCGAGCCTACCCCTATTATCGTCGTTAGCGACTCCGACGATAAGGCTCCCTCGCCGGCTATTCCTCCTATTCTTACACCTACCACTTCTACTACCTCTAATTAGGGGAACCACGATATCGGGGCTACGGCCTTACCTCCGCTCGCTTCTAGGCCGACTACTATATCTGCCGCGGCTCCGGCTGCTATTTTAATAACTGCCCCTAATACTGCCCCTATTACTACCCCTGCCTAGCCCGCTTCGAACGCTTCCCCTACCACTGCTAAAGACCTAATTAAGCTACTATAAGCCCTAATAAGCCGTGACTAAAAGAGCACTATTACCGAGGTCGTTAGAGCCCTACCACCTACTATTACTACGTTAAGAGCACTCCTAAATCCCCCCGCTACTAGAGCTCCCCGCTTTAGTGGTAAGTCCCTCTCCACGTTCCTTTAGCAGTACGATAACTATACTAAGCTTAACCGCCTTAGTAAAGCCGATAAGATCACCTACGTTAACCTATACACGGATACGGCTAGTCGTCCCGCTATCGAACGCCTAGTTAGAGAGGTTTAAGCCGATAAGGGCGGTTAGTCTAATCTAGTTAAGAAGCTTATTAAAGAATTCTCTTATCTAGATCCTAACTACTAACTTAACTTCTCTTATAAGGTTTATTAGCTTCGGGTAAAGCATAAGACGTATAAGATTAATAGCGTTCGTTAGGTTAGGGACTTACTATAGTAAATTACTATCTAAAAGGCTAAGGCTAAGCGGGTTTAAGGTATTTTTATCGAAGACTCCGAGCTCTACGGTATTATCCTTACTATTCTGTATAGAGATATCTATATATTTATTACTAATAAGCTTAAGATTTAAGGCACCGACTTAAGAAAGATAGTTAAGAGCTATAAG